CTTTCTGAATTCTGATGATGCCAGCAGTGTCAGTTTTCGTAGAATGGCAAATGGCTGAGCTTCGGCTCCCCAACTGGACACCTGTTTATCGGCTCAGGCATGCGCCGCTCTGGAGACCAAGCCGCCCTGTTACGGACCTCACCTGTAGATACTTATGCGCCAGCTCCCACAGTCATTTCGTTCCGCAAAGTTCTGAAAAGGGCCGCCGTGGTGCGTGCTTTGTGTAGGATAGCCAAAGGTCATCGCCGAATGGTGCTATGATAATAGCAAAAAGATAGCCCCAGCTATAGACGGTCGGGCCCATCTCACCTCACCACTGCTGCAGGGAGGCACTGGCTCACTCAACGGCACGCTTCCCATTCTGGAGGGTCAGGAGTGGGCGGTGCTCTCGGCGGCCCGCACCACACTGCGCCGTCGGGGGGGGGGGGGGAGACGCTGTCGCCGGCCGGCTGGCCGCTGCGGCACGTCCGCGTCCCGTGCCACTGCCGCGCCCCGAGGGCACGTCCCGTCGGCGCCGACAGACGCGGCCGTCGGCGGCCACCGCGAGTTATTGCGGTCACGACCGACGCGCAATAATGCGGCCGCTCCCCACAGGCGGCGCGTCATCTCAGTGAAATATGAACTCCATTTGCCCGCTGCCGATGCAATTATCTGCGACGGATCAGCGACGTCGGACCGACGGCGCGCCGCCACTGCCGCACAGGGCGACACAGTCTGACGCTACTGCCGCACTGTGAGACATAGTCTGACGCTACTGCCGCACAGCGTGGCACCGTACGCCGCTACTGCCGCACAGTAAGACACAGTGCGCCGCTACTGCTGTGCAGCGAGACACAGTTCGACGCTACTGGCGCACAGTGCGACACAGTGCGACGCTACAGTCGCACAGGAAGACAACGTGCACCGGCACTGTCGCACAGGGAGACACCGTGCGCCGCTACTGCCGCACAGTAAGGCACCGTGCGCCTCTACTGCCGCACATTAAGACACCGTGCGACGCTACTGCTGCACGGTCGGCCACGGCGACAATGTAGCGACGTTGTCGCACAGTCGAATACAACAGCAGTACGCAAAAGCTGCCGCACGGGCAGACATCGCGACAGTGCGCCACCGATGTCGCACAGCCAGACCAAGAGGCACTATGTCGTCACTATCACAAAGCGGAAGACAGTCACAATGGCCGATACATGGAGGATGCCCGCAAAACCGCGGCGCATCGGAAGTTCATGTCGGCGGCATCGCGCAACACTCCAGCATTGCTGAACCGCTGTTTTTTTAGTGCCATAAGTGGGCTCGCAAAGCTTTTAGGTCCCTTTCTTCCGCGACAAACACATTTTTCCTTAGTGTTTCAGGCTTGGTTCTTTCCATAAGTGCGCGCTGGTATTCGGCAGCATCAATTCATGGATTTCATTTTCCCCACTTATCCCGTGAAAGTTAAGCTTTCACACTTGTCTTTTTGTGTTGCATGGGAAGAGCTGATACAAACTTATGCATTGCCTGAAGTAATGTTGCGATGTTTTTCACCACCTTACATTCAGCCTGTTGGGCCAAGGCTATCACTGAACTCCGACCTGGGAAGCAATTTGCGATACAAGAATGAATGATGAATAAATCGGCGGGGCTTTTATCTCGAGTTATGTTTTAGCATCTTTCTCTTTATATACATTATCGTGTCTTTTTGAGCCTTATCCCTCGGAATGGAATTGGACCGAGCAAGCTATTTTGCTCAAAACAATGCCAACTGGATTGCCTCCATCCAATGTTGGCGGTGCCCAATCCGGAATGAGGTGTGGAATGAGAGTCAATGATGTGGCCAAGCGTTCTCAATCACATTTGCAACAACAGCTGCATCGCATTGAGGTTGCTCTACCCATTGTTATAGCTGTCGGCAATCAGAGCGAGGCAATGCCGCCTGTCCTTATAGGGTGGACCGTGACAACGCGCCGCTGACTGCGAGATAGAGGTGATGACGGTGCCGGAACTGCCCCCCTCCCCCCCCCCCGCAGCCACCGTACGGCCCCGCAGCAGCCGGTGCGTATCTACCGTCCCCACCCGCCTTCAATATCCCCGGCGCCTTTGGATTTACCCTCGAGCGCCGATCACATCTTGTTTAGCTACCGGTGCCCGGGGAGCATCAAAAGTGCGAACCCTTCCACAAGCTCCATCTAAGCCAGTGTTAAAACAGACCGGACCGTATCGTGGGGCCATCAAATTTATGTACTGTAACCCCTTGATGGCGGCGGCCACCGAGGGGATGACCGCCGCCGGCGAGGGACCGGCGCGCCGGCCCGACTGGACGGCAGTCACGCGCGGCGCGTCGCCCGGCCGCCTCCGCCGCCCTCTCATAAACTGGCGCCGCATAGATTGCGAGTGCCGCGTGTCCGGCGGCGGGCAGCGGCGGCGCGCGATGGCCGCCGGCGCCGAGTGGCGTCCTGGGAGTCGCGCCGCTCCATAACGGCCGCGCGGCCCCGGCCGGCCGTAATTGAAACAAAACAGGAGCGCGGCGCCGGCCGGCCGGTCCGGCGTCTCATGCAGATCAGATGACGCCCGCTCGGCCGCCGCCGGCGCGGCGCTTTGTGTGACCGGCGCGCTCAGCGGTCCCCGGGGGCGGCGGCGGCCGAACGCGGCACTAGCCGCACCAGCCGTCACCAGCTCCTAGTGCACGGCCCCAGTCCGCTGCGATTAATTGGAGCCGACGCGGACGTGGGGAGAACGACTGATCTGCCCATTTGTTCACTGGTGGCATGTTTTCTCTCGTGAAGTGTCTGATGTCAGCACTTTGGGTGCGCGGCAAGTATTGTGTGCGGTGTCTGATCATGGCTTGTTTGCCCTCAGTAGGTTTTACTTGTCAACAAGCCCACAAGGATGTGCCATATAGCGGCTGATCGGCACCGCCATCCGGTTCTGAGTCAGAACCGACGGTGCTGGAGTGGTGCACTCGGCGCTGCATGCCACATGTTGCCACTTTTCCGGCGTCAGTGCGTATCTGCTTCGCTTTCCTACATTAGAATCTGGCCCCTGCGGCGCCGCTACCAGCCGGACGCTGGCGGCTTCACTCTTTATGCGTTTTCCCGTTCATTCAGTGGGCCGATATTTGTGCCGGAACCATTGTTTGCTCTGTGCAATATTGTATGTTGTTTAATGTACATTACACATGCATATTTTCCCATCTATGCCACCGTTGGGTCGGTGCACAGCCGGTGCATTCCAGCTGGATCCCTTGGTGTCATGTCCCCATCTCACTGTCATCCATAATGTTGCGTTTGTTTCTTTACAATGAGCCTTAGGCTCTGACTTCATTGTCATGCTGGCATCGTATTCTATTCATATCTTCTGGGCCTCTGCTCACTTGCTTTGACCTATGACACCCACTCCATCCCTCGCTCCCTCCAGCATTCCTTCGATCCTGGATATTTTCTCCTCTCTTTGTTCCGGGGCTAATCGTGTGCGCTCTCTGGAGATAACCCTCTTGGCGGCGAGTGCACCCGTTGACGTGCCCGGTTATTTGCGGCCCTTTACAGAGCGGCCGACTTGATTACAACACGATGCCGTTGTTGCCGAACCGAACGGATCCGTTTTGCTAGATTTACCATCTGTTCGCATTACACGGCTGCAGCGCCTCATCGCAAATGGAGCGGAAAATGTTGGGCCGGGCTGCCGGCGGCGGCTGACGGCGGCTGTGGAAGATGTGGCTGTCGTCACACCGATAACGAGTTGCAGTGGCGGGCGCGGGCGCCATCTGATGGCGGCGGCCGCGCCCATGGAGTCGGCCTGGTGCCGGGCGCGCCGGCTCGGCCCCGCGGGTGGCTCGCGCTCCTGCACCTGTGCCGTCTCCACCAGCGGTGGTGATGGTTGGGTCCCTGGCGTCGGCCCGGTAACGGGTGCGCCGGCTCGGCCCCGCGGGTGGCTCGCGCTCCTGCACCTGTGCCGGCTCCGCTAGCAGTGGTGGCGGCCGGGTCCCTGGCGTCGGCCTATTGTTGGGTGCGCCGGCTCAGCTCCGCGGGTGGCTCGCACTCTTGCACCTGCGCCACCCCCACTAACGGCAGCGACGCCGTGCGTCGCTGCCGTTTCCACTTCGGCGGCTTGACTGGGGCCACCGGAGGGTGGTCACTCGCCAGGTCCGAGCGGATACACCTGGTCGACAGAGCCGGCCGTGGCTGGCGCTGCTGCTGTCGTGGAGTGATGGCGTGACCAGCCTGATCGGATCGGATCGGGTCGGTGGTGTCGCACGGTCTCCGGACATTCTCTGGAGAATATTGACAGCCTTGGGCTGGATCTATGATGTTGGCACCTTAGTCATTCACGAGTACTACGACGTACGAGAGTCACTGAGAAGTAGCCGTTATCCGGACTACGATGTAACGTGTGCGATGATGTAGCGCGCAATTGCAATCACTTTCAGACGTATACCTACGTCAGACCTATACGTATTGATGACATTGATCAATGTCCTAAGCCATGCATCAGTTTCTGCCTTCGGGTATAAAACATTCGTTGCCGTTCGCAGGAGTACGGACCATCTGGAAATAAGCTAGATGTATAGCAGATAATATTTTCGTTCACATCATATGTGTGCCATATTGATATTGAATCAATATGAACTTTGAAAACCACTTCCGTATTCGATATTTGTGACTATGCTTTAGAGGGCGTCACAGTCCTGTGGGTGTACAGCTTACGTCTCGTCTGGCTGGAGAGGCCGGGTCTCCCCAGGACCGAGACACGTCGCCGCGATGCGACACCTTTCCTGGGTGGGGCGCAGGGGGTGGCGTCTGCCAACGTCCGCATCGGCTGCGGCCTTACACACGCCTGGATACACTGACTCTGACCCATGCTGACCTCAGCAGCACCGCGGTACAGCGTACAGCGCAGCCGTCATTTGTGAGCCACGCTGTTGGAAAGTGTCTTAGATGCGCGCACTGTTAACTACATGCTGCGTTTGCCCCGTGCAATTAGGACGTGCATTGTTCTAAATCGCACATCCCCTCTCTTGTCGACAGCATTCTAGAGATCCGCAAGGAGAAGTCGCGCGACGCGGCCCGCTCGCGCCGCGGCAAGGAGAACTACGAGTTCTACGAGCTGGCCAAAATGCTGCCTCTGCCCGGCGCCATCACCTCTCAGCTGGACAAGGCGTCCATCATCAGGCTGACCATCAGCTTCCTCAAGATTGGCGAGTTCAGCAGCCAGGGCGACCCTCCCTGGGCGCGCGAGCCGCCGCCCAACAAACTGTACAAAAGTGAGTCCGTCCGCGCGAGCCGCCGCCCAACAAACTGTACAAAAGTGAGTCCGTCCGCCGCGTGCCGTCGGTTGTCGCGCGCGACGCGCACGGCCGTCTGCAGGAGAGCGAGTCCTCAGAGGCTGGGCAGCACAGACGGGAACAGGGGGACAGGTGCGCGCTGTCTGTACTGCGCAGACGGGTATGCAGGTGTGCGGGTCCTCGCGGTCTGTGATGGACAGACGGCTGGACACAAGTGGATAGGCTCCCGCCGTGTGTGCCGCATAGCCGTGTACGGGACGGGTACTCATTGCGGACATCGCACAAAATGGTACTTGAGGAATGTTCGCCACGCTGTCGCCACGTACGGATACGCCAGGACGGTTTGTCATTGCGTGTACTGTCCTTAACGTAATGATCACTGTCAGGCTCGCTACCACACGGCATGTTTTGTAAGACGAGCAACACTCTGGGCAACTGTCAGGGTGCGCGTTGATGATATTTCACGTCACAGAATTGGAGCCATTCACGCCATAGCGTACTTGGCGCCCAGTGATGAGGCTCGTTCCTCATATGTCACACCCTCTCCTCTCTGGGAGTCCTGCCGGGCTCAGCCGGAGCCCGACAGGGGGCCGTTCGCTCACCGCAGTCAGGGGTCTCAGCCCCAGCTCACTGTTCTCACCGATTTTGGTGGGCCAACCGCACTGTGAAGTCACATTTGGCCTGCGCACACCTGGCCGGGAAGGGTGCAGTGCGTCGGAGAGGGTGCCGTGCGTCGGAGAGGGTGCTGTGCGTCGGAGAGGGTGCTGTGTGTCGGAGAGGGTGCTGTGCGTCGGAGAGGGTGCTGTGTGGCGAAAAGAGCGCGGTTTGTCGGAGAGAGTGCTGTGTATCGGAAAGGGTGCGGTGAGTCGGAGAGGGTGCGGTGTGTCGGAGAGGGTGTCGTGTGTCGGAGAGGGTGCGGTGTTTCGGAGAGGGTGCGGTGTGTCGGAGAGGGTGCGGTGCGTCGGAGAGGGTGCAGTGTGTCGGAGAGGGTGCCGTGTGTCGGAGAGGGTGCGGTGCGTCGGAGAGGGTGCGGTGTGTCGGAGAGGGTGCAGTGTGTCGGAGAGGGTGCGGTGTATCGGAGAGGGTGCGGTGTATCGGAGAGGGTTCAGTGTGTCGGAGAGGGAGCGGTGTGTCGGAGAGTGAATGGTGCGTCGGAGAGGGAGCGGTGTGTCGGAGAGTGAATGGTGTGTCGGAAAGGGTGCCGTTTATCGCCGCAGCGGGACGCTCGCCGGCCTGGGTTTGCGCCGGCGCCGTCTGCTCCGGCACTCATTGAAATCTTTACGCTCGGCTTAATGTCCGGCTGGTGCGTGTCGCTAGCGATAAAACCGCTAATGAGTTTTGCATTTATCACCGGCCGTGAGACAGAGCTGCGCGGTGATGACCAGTGGCTCAGCGGTCACGTGGTCCCGCCCGCCAGCTCTGGCTGGCGTCACGTGACCTGGCTTCACTCGGTACGGGCTTCTGTGGCGCCCGCCGCTACTTCATTTACTATCGTCATTATTATACCATTATCCAGCAGAGTTGAGTCACTGTAGAAAATACTAGTGGTTAGCCGATGATAAAGTAGCGTCATTTCATCAAAAACCAATCTGGCGAGGCTGGTGCGCCAGGAGCGCCGGCAGGGTGAGGCCTCGCTCACGCCCGGCCGGCGTTTGATGTCGGCCGGCGCGCCGCCGCACCGCTGCCGGCCCTCGTGCATGCGCTGGCCGGCGGCTCCGTGCCGGCCTGGCGCGGCCGGTGCGCGCCGGCCAGTCGCGGTCGAAGCCGGCCGCTCGCGGGCCCCGGCAGCCTCTCGTCCGGCAGGACGCACCTCCGGCCTGAGCGCTTCCGGTGACTACGCGCCGCAACACGGGCACGCGGAGACGAAAACAGCGCCGGGCCGGCGGCCGCCATAAAAGGCACCCGCCGGCTGACCGTAGCCAACGATACGAATCACAGCGAAACTGAACGAATGCCTTCCTCTCACACGATTTGGGCCGGCATTCTCTCCGCCGATCCGGGCCGAGTTTTTTGCATATTTCGTCATAAATCAAGCAATCCGGTTCATTTCGTTTCAGGGCCACAGGCAGGGGAGGAAAAGAATTGCTGGTCACTTTTTCATTCGCAATGTCCATTAAATTGCATTCTCATCTGAAACTCCATTAAAATGCGTTATGCGTCACCAGCGGCCGTAAAGCTTGACAAATTGCGCCGATAAAATACTTGGCACATAATTCATATGGAATTCACAGGGAATGTCGAAATATTTTCTGTGTTAGTGTCCCACAGAATTAAAGACTTGGAAATTTATCGTCCCACGCAAACACGGGAGAGTTCAACGCTGATGTATGGGGAACCACACGATGCTATGCTGTACCGCATGACACCAAATTCAACGCCTGTTGGGAGGAGCCGTGTCACATGGCACGGCCATTCGTTACTTTAATGCTCTACCTGCAACTGATACGGCCAGTGCGGGTCTCCGGTTTCCAGGGTACTCTCCCTGGGTGCGGTCGAGTTATTTCGGTGTCCTAGTGCCGTGACTAAGGGCGGGGTCGGCAGGCCCGACACCGGGGCTGACACCGGGGAGTCATGGGCTGACTCGGCCCTCTGGCACCGGGGAGTCATGGGCTGACTCGGCCTTCTGGCACCGGGGAGTCATGGGCCGACGAGCCATGGACCGACACGGCCCTCTGGCACCGGGGAGTCATGTACCGGCACGGCCCTCTGACACCGGGGAGTCACGGGCCGACCCGGCCCTCTGACACCGGGGAGTCACGGGCCGACCCGGCCCTCTGACACCGGGGAGTCACTGGCCAATCCTGTACTCAACCCAACACTACACCGCATCGGTCAGTGCCACTCCGTTCGACTGAATGCGTCTCATGAAGGCGACGAGTGCGTGCGGGCTCCCGGCGCGCCGCTCGGCCGGCCGCCGGCTCCTGGCGCGCCGCGCGGCCGGCCGCCACCGTCCGTAAACGAGGCGGAGAAAATCACATTGTTCAGACCAGATGAATAGCGCTAATTTGCTTTGACATGCAAATTCAGTCCAATCGTGAGCATTCAAAATCGATTGGGACGGCGTGATCATAGGTTGGGTCCAGTGGCCACCGATGGCCTGTGAGCAGGCCGACGGTCGCCGTCTGGGGCGCCCCTCCCCTCCCCCCCCCCCCCTCCCCGACTTGTTTCCGGGACAGGTGGACGGCGGTCTGCCGACTGAACCACAATATTGTGACGGCGGCTTACAGGAGCAGCGCATTTGTCGGCATCGTCCGCGGCGCCGGCCTCTCTGTCAGACCGGCGCAGGGGGGGGGGGGGGGGGGGACTGGCAGCCACCAAAGCAGCTGACGCGGGGCAAAGCGGTGCCGGTGGAGCCGGGCCGGGCCAGGGCGGTCCGGGACGGACCAGGGAGCCCACACTCACCTGAAACACGAATCGCGTGGGGAAGGCGTCCGGCAGCGATGCCACGCGTTCAACAGGTAGCACACCTGCAGCGCGTTAAATGAGCCCAGGCTGGGGACCCTCCCTTGGTTATCACATCACCAGCCGCGCAGGTCGTGGCGCTGGTTATTACGGAGGTAACTCGTACCTGCTCACACTGCGGCTGGTGTACTGAGTGCTGTGATAGCCTAGTGGCCAGGACCTCGGGCTGTTATCGCGATAGCTACGGTTCAAATCCGAGTGACGCCATGTGACGCTTCTGTCCGGACTCATTGCGGACCATCGCGGTTTTCAAAACTGAAGCATGTGTCCTGTGCGCACAATGTGCCATGATGAAGCTGTTTGTGTCCCAGGTTTCGTGCTCAACATTATAAGTATAGCACAAGCAGTGGGCGTCTGACGGCAGCAATACTGCGTCCGTAAGGCCCCAGCAGAAATGCAGCTACCGTTAGTCCAAGATATTCGAAACGCTTCTCAGCTGAATTAGAATACGACATCCTTTATGTCATCCCACTCAAATATTGTTTACTCTTACAGTTATTCTGCTGAAGATTTTCACAAGGGCTCATTTTGCTGCGGTGTGCCAGAGTGCCAACGCTGTGGTAGCGATTAGCGGATCACGCTGGAAAGCACCACGGTATGGGACGTATGTTATAACCTGTAACATGACGCTGAATTCAAAACTTGAGGAAAGCTTGAATTGCTAGACTACGCATACGCAGCATCGTCTACGTGGCGGCCTTGTGGTACTGTTTTTCTTCCCCAGTCACCAATCAGAGCCGTTTTATTTTGCTGGCACCGGCACTGATTGCGCCCTCGCGCCGCCACAGAATCCTGTTAGATCGACGCCCGCCTGCTTTGATAGAGGGGAACTTTGAGTGACCTTAACTGCATTACCTCCGGGCCGTCTGGCTGACACTTGAGGGGTGCCCAGCATCGAGGGGCGGCGACGGCCGGCGGCTGCAGGGGCGGCGACGGCCGGCTGCAGGGGCGGCGACGGCCGGTGGCTGCAGGGGCGGTGAAGGCCGGCGGCAGGGGCGGCGACGATCGGCTGCAGGGGCGGTGACGGCCGGCTGCAGGGGCGGCGACGGTCGGCTGCAGGGGGGGTGACGGCCGGCTGCAGGGGCGGCGACGGTCGGCTGCAGGGGCGGTGACGGCCGGCTGCAGGGGCGGCGACGGTCGGCTGCAGGGGCGGCGACGGTCGGCTGCAGGGGCGGTGACGGCCGGCTGCAGGGGCGGCGACGGCCGGTGGCTGCAGGGGCAGTGAAGGCCGGCCGCAGGGACGGCGACGGTCGGCTGCAGGGGCGGCGACGGCCGGCGGCAGGGGCGACGACAGCCGTCCGCAGGGGCGGTGACGGCCGGCTGCAGGGCGGCGGCATGCGTCAAGTCAGACAGCCAGCCAACGAAGGTCCGAACTCATTGACGTGCGCTGCCTGAGGTAACTGTTGGTTGCTGGTCGTGTGGCCCCACGCTGGCCACGTAGTGGTGGGGTTGGGCCGTTCAGCGCAGCAGGGGGCCGATGCTTTTGTCCTTGTGAGCTCACCGCCGCACGTGCAGCGAACCGGCCTCCAGAAGCATTGTGATTGGTTCCACGCCACTCCAGCGAATGGGCAGAATCGTCAGGCGCAGCAGCTCACATGCGAAAGAGATCTCGTGCATACAAACGAAGGAGGGCAGGCGGTCGCTTCATTCAACAAAAATGGGACTTCAAACGGTTTAGGAAGTTCATTTCTGACTTTCAAGCTCTGCAAACGTCGGTAGGTCCTACCGATTGTCTGATGTGACCAAAGGTGTAATGTGGAGAGACGCTGCAGCGGCCTGTGGTGCTGGCCAGGGTACAGTCCGGCGGCTTGCGAGCCAGCCAGGGTGCAGTCCGGTGGCCCGCGGGGCTAGCCAGGGTGCAGTCCGGCGGCTTGCGGGCTAGCCAGGATGCAGTCCGGTGGTCCGCGGACCAGCCAGGGTGCAGTCCGGCGGCTTGCGGGGCTAGCCGGGGTGCAGTCCGGCGGCTTGCGGGCTAGCCAGGATGCAGTCCGGTGGTCCGCGGACCAGCCAGGGTGCAGTCCGGCGGCTTGCGGGGATAGCCAGGGTGCAGTCCGGCGGCTTGCGGGCTAGCCAGGATGCAGTCCGGTGGTCCGCGGACCAGCCAGGGTGCAGTCCGGCGGCTTGCGGGGATAGCCAGGGTGCAGTCCGGCGGCTTGCGGGCCAGCCAGGGGGCAGTCCGGCGGCCCGCGGGGCTAGCCAGGATGCAGTCCGGCGGCTTGCGGGGATAGCCAGGGTGCAGTCCGGCGGGCTCGGGATCGGTTCGACCCCTGGCGTCCTGCCGTCCTCAGCCAGTGACACCGCCAAGGGGGGTCATGGTGCCTTATTTCTTCCCCCGTCAGGTTCGAGCGTCGCTTTATACAAGGTGATCTGGTGATCAGGAACACCGTTTTGGTATTGAACATCATAAACACTACCACGGGCAGCGACATGTAGGGCCCCTCAGCCGTGTTGTAGTAACAAACTAGCGGATATCCGAGTGAGTCTATGTACGGTATGCAGCTAGAGCAATTGTTTCAGGCACCAGGCCAAAGCAACAGCAATAGGTCATTGGTACTTTAGGAGCTGTATCTTTTGGCGTTTGTGACGTCTCAGTCTGTTCACAGTGCGTAGGTTTTGTCGATGGGGGCGGGACTCGTTGGTAAAAATCGCCTCCGTCGCAATGGTAGCCCAAATTCGTCGCATCTCCGTCGCGAACTGGCTGCGCTCCTGTCCTCGGTGTACCTGCAAATATCACATGGTCCAGACAGCGCGTGCGCGCTGTCTGGACTCCGCATGTGCGGCGTAACCATTTCTAAAACAGGGAAGGCGAGCTCGCTCTGCGATCAGGGTCTGGGTGAGTACGCGCGATGGGCCTGCGTCCATTTCCCTCAAACAACGCATCAAGATATCATCTGGTGCCACCCTCGCACAATAAACGCGTATATTTCCCCACACCGGGAGACATTTCTCTTAATTAGACTGCGGACACAGTCATAAATTGCTGGGGTGACCCGGGCTTTAATAACCGCTTAGAGGGAGAAGTAAGTGGATTGGGGGGCCGTCCGTGTCAGAGGCCAGAAGGCCGGCCCATAAAAAACCATCGGTGGCACGTGACCACATTGAGCCGACCACCTCTGGCCGGCAAGAGAGCTGGGCCGCCCCGCGGCGCGGGCCAGCGGCTGGCTGCCCCCGGCTGCTGAGCGGGGGCGCCGGTCTCAGGTGTCGCCCAGGGGCGTTGCTCCCGGGCTGTCCGGCAGCCGGCCCGGGGTCGGTGCTAATGCGCGATGGGGGGCGACGCGGCGGGGATCAGGGGAGGCGATGAGCTGCAGCCGATGGTCCGCCAGGGGCGGTCGCAGTGAGTCGGAGAAACTGACGGGCCGGAAAATGACCGCAGCCGGCGTGCTGACGCTGCTGTGGGCTATTTCAAAGCGATGCACGCGCCCATACCCCCCCCCCCCCCCTCTCCCGCCGTTCCCACCTTGCCCGCAGCACGGCGTCCAAACCCAAGTATGTCTGATGTCAAGCTCGCTTATTTTTTATTTTTATTTTAGCTATGAAGGGTGCTCCAAACACCTGTCCAACTGTCATCTCAAATCGCGAAGCATCTTGTAGGTGGCAATGAAAATACACATTTAAGGCTGCGTTTTAAAATGACATGTATTTGATAGATCCTTGTCAAATTTAAAACGCATTGCGAGCAGTTGTACCATAGCTCACAAGCTCACATCAGCCACACCACCACAGAGCCATGCTCTGCCGGCGATGTCCGTGCGCTCTGTTTTCCGCCACCGCCCGCGCGCCTGTCCCGTTCCCGCGCACACGCGCGCTGTCTAACGCAGCTCTCGGCGGCCGATACAGCTGCCTACGGGTCCGCTGTCGCTTCCTCCGAACGGTTCTCGTGGCGCGCCGTAGCCCACCGGCCCGGTTTCAGTGAGTGCCATGACCTGGGACCACGCCGTGGCTTCGGCCCCCACAGTCAGGCCGCCGACAGCAACCAGGGGGATCCCGCCCGGTCTGCCCGGCCGCCGTCTGAAGGCCAGGCCGGCTGTGGTCCCGGCTGGTCGACGGCAGGGTGCGCTGTACGCTGGAGCATACGCTGCTCTCGGGTGCTGCAGCCCGACACGTGAGGTCACCCTCGGCTGTTGCAGGCTCTCACCTGAGGTCACTCTCGGCTGTTGCAGGCTCTCACCTGAGGTCACTCTCGGCTGTTGCAGGCTCTCACCTGAGGTCACTCTCGCTGTGCAGAATGAGGTCACTCTCGATGTGCGGCTCTCACTGAGGGCACTCTCGTGTTGAGGCTCTCACTGAGGTCACTCACGCTGTGCAGGCCTCACATTCACTCTCGGCTGTTGCAGGCTCTCACTGAGGTCCGTGGATCCCGAGTCGGTACCGGCGTTCCCACACAGGCACCACATACTGCAGACCGCGCCGGCCGCCCACCGGTCGCGCGTCGCGTGACTCCAGCTGACAATGTGGCCGTGGCGACTTCATTGCCGACCGAATCTGACTTGAATGTGTTCAGGCCATGAATAAGCGCTTCCATCAAACTCGTTATTACCGTAAATGCTTCGTTTTCGCTGTATTATGGAGACTGATAACCTGCTGACCCATTTCAGTCTCTGGACGGGTTCGCGTTCACGTTAGCGACTGACGGAAGATTTCTGTACATATCAGAAACAGTGTCCATTTACTTAGGATTGTCACAGGTGAGTGGTTGTTTTGATTAAAGTTGGTATTTATCTTGTACAAAGCGTGTCATACCGTGTCAGTGATATGAAACCTCTTGGAAGGAAGCGGATGTCCTAGATATCCTGTATGTCTGCTGTTTTCCTCCTGGTGTGGACTATTTTACATTCGATATTCGCCCATACCACGTTTGCCTGCCTTTACCATCACCGTACGTATTATTTTTGCCACATTCGCCTGCCTAGTTAACATGTCAAAATATGGCCCAACAGAACATCAGATTAGCTGATGTGAAAACTGGGCCCAGTCGGTCATTGCCAAAGTGGTGTTTCGCGATTCCGATCAAAGGTTTTGCTGAGCCAGATAACCCCTGCAGTTATGTTTCACGTTTCGCTTTTACCTTTCCATCACAAGCATGTTATAAATGGACCTATAGGTAGCATGCTTTTTCTCGTGATCTGCGACTCGTAGGCTCCAGGCTGGGAGATGGCCTAGTTCCCTTCCTAGAGGGAACTGTCGTAAGGGAATGCGGTGGAAATGACCATAACAAAAGTGTAACTCCATATGCACCCATTTATCATAGGTGGACAGCAGTGTCTTAGAATAAACCGATAACACCACGATGAATTGCTTATTGCCTTCCGCCCTGTCCATAACAAGCCTGGGAAGTTTATGTTCTCATGTTTCCATTTCCCAAAACATCATCGCAAAGCCTAAAGCGCGCTGCGATACCAGCCTGGAGCAGGCCCAGGCTGCACAGACAGCGCCCGGGCGGCGCGGTCGGGTATGGATCCGTCCGTGCTAAATGGCACACTTACCGAGCGCGCCATTGTGGCCGACCGGCCGCGGGTCGTGCCGGCCGACTTTCCATCAAAAGCGTCCAGCTTTCAATTATCATAAATCATGTTGAAGCCTCGCTCATGACCTGCCCATCATGAAATATTTCAGCCGGCGCGATTATCAAATGCGGCCGCTGAAGGGCCGATTGACCGGTCAAACAATTACCCACTAAATTGACAGTTTACCAGCCAACGTTCGTCGGCGGCCGGCGCCGCCCGCTGTCGGCCGTTATTGATATTATAACTCTGGGCTAAACCTGTTCCCTAGTCTCCCTTCTAATATCGGTAAATTTGCTTTTGCCGGAGGTTAATGGCTCTTAAACGCTAATCGAGGTGCATGGTAAGCCATCATAGCGCGAGCCGGACCCGCTCATGCTGACCCTTACTCAGGACGGTGGTGTGGTGTCCCCGGCTCTGTGGTCTGGTCATATGGAGCCCCAGCCGTGTCTCCATGTCTACTGTGGTCTGGTCATGCGGAACCCAGCCGTGTCTCCATGTCTACTGTGGTCTGGTCACATGGAGCCCCAGCCGTGTCTCCATGTCTACTGTGGTCTGGTCACATGGAGCCCCAGCCGTGTCTCCATGTCTACTGTGGTCTGGTCACATGGAGCCCCAGCCGCTTGGTCTGGTCATATGGAGCCCCAGCCGTGTCTCCATGTCTACTGTGGTCTGGTCACATGGAGCCCCAGCCGTGTCCCAATATTTGCTGTGGTCTGGTCATATGAACTCTCAGCCATGTCTCAATACTTACTGTGGTCTGGCCACTTTCAATCCCAGCCGTGTCTCAATATATACTCTGGTCAAGTCAGGCGGAACCCCAGTCGCGTCTTCCTATTCACTGTGACCTGGTCAGGTGGAACCACAGCCCGGCTTCAGGGGTCTCCTGAGGTCAGGCCCGCCGGGCTCAGCCCCGTGTGTCGGTCTCCCCGTGATCACCAATAGCAGACAAGACATTTGACCTGGAAGGCAACTGACCGCCACTGTGTTGCGTGCATCGAGTGACAGCATGCAGGCGACGGGGCACTACAAACAAGTAGAAAAGATCATAACAATTGCTGCAGCTGTTTCACGCGCGCGACGTGAGGGCTCCGACGGTACCCCTCACCCAGTGCCTTGCACTAGCTCTTAAAGATTGCGCAGCCCCTTGTGTCTGGGCCAGGCTCAGCCAGGGAGTTGTACCGTGTTGATGTTCCGGTGGGCCGTCCGCACGCGTTGCTCCCTGACCCGGCCTTGTTGGGAGGATGGTGTGTTAGCCATACTGACCGCGAGGCGTTCCAGGTGGAGATGTGCGGCAGCAGCATCTTCGACTACATCCACTCTCAGGACCACGCCGAGTTCGCCGAGCACACGGGGCTGACACTGAGCAACGGCCGACCTCTGGCCTCGCCCGGCGAGGAGAACGCCGGCCCGGTCGGCACCCACAACCCGGACGGTACGTCAACTGTCGGTACCCACAACCTGGACGGTAGGCTTACTGTTGGCACCCACAACCCGGACGGTAGGCTTACTGTTGGCACCCATAACCCGGACGGCAGGTCAACTGTTGGCACCCACAACCCGGACGGTGGGCTTACTGTTGGCACCCACAACCCGGCGGGGCGTCAACTGTCGGCACCCACAACCCGGACGGTGGGTCAACTGTCTGTACCCACAACCCGGCACCCACAACCTGGACTGTGGGTCAATTGTCGGTAGACACCTACCTACACGGACGGTAGGTCGAACGTTGATACCCACAACCCGGGCAATAAATAGCTGCAGAATCCAACGGAAGCATTCCTGTTGCTCATAGAAAAACAAATTAATGCATTTTGTGATAGACAATTACATCTAGTTCGCTGTGTGGAATCCGTTTTAATCTTGTAAAAAACATGCCTCCACGGGTTTCACCTCCAGTAGGTTTCAGCCTCAGAACATGGTAGTCAAAATTAATTGTACCAGCGTTTAGAGCGTTTTAGTGGTTGTATACCCCATTGTTGAACCTCGGTGAACCAGTGATTAATTTGTTGTGAATTATGGTGATTCCAAGTGCTCTTCAAGAACAAAAACTTAATGAACCCTAGGAATGTTCAGTCAAATAGTTGGACGATCTTTCGCCACGCAGGACCAGCTATCCTCCACCCCGCCAGAGACGGCGTGTGTTTCTAATTATTGCTCAGAATGACTTTAAAAGGATTGGAGATCCCTTTTGTAGTGTTTGGTATGCGCCAGAGGCGCGGCGGCGTCGGCCGAATTCTCGCTGTCTCTCAATAAAACGTGCTGGACTCGACTCCGGCTTCCTCAGATAAAGTACTGTAACGGCCGCTATAAAACAAAATCCGCCGCCGGTTAAATCGTCCCGGGACCCATCCGAGGCTAAATACTTTATGGAGCGGCCGTGCGGCTGGCGCACGTGGCCCACATCCTGCCGGCGGCCGGCGGCCGCAGCCCGACTTCGGCCGCGGCTGGAGCTCGCCCGTCAGCCTTTGTGGGGATTGTCTGTCTCCGTCGTTGACGCACGGTCGGAAGCATAGGCAGCACACACAAACCCTCCTGAGTGTGAGGCAGTGTGGCTCGAACTAAATCTGTGGCTCTGTCCTTTTCTCTATATGCCGTGTCATCTTTTCTTGCCTTGCTTGCTTTTCTTGCCTTGCCTTTCTTGCCTTTACTCTATATTCTCTATATGCCGCGTCACGGCCGCCGACCAATCACATTCAGAGCGGCCGCCGCGCCTAATCAGACCTAGACCTAACCAAGGTCTGGACCTGACCGGCGCGGCTCGCTCTCCCTGGACCTGACCGACACCACTCATCCTCCCGGACCTGACCGGCACCACCTACCCTCCCGGACCTGACGCACGGCCCGCTCTCCCGGGACCTGACCGGCGCGGCTCGCTCTCCCCAGATTTGACCAGTACCACCCACCCTCCCAGACCTGACTGGCACCACCTACCCTCCCGGACCTGAGGCACGGCTCGCTCCCCCGGGACCTGACCGACACTACCCACCCTCCCGGACCTGACGCACTGCTCGCTCTCCCGGGACCTGACCGACGCGGCTCGCTCTCCCCGGACGCTGCCTTACACCCAGGCGGCTCGCTCTTCCCGGACACTGCCTTACACTGCCTTACGCTCAGGAGGGTTTGTGTGTGCTGGCTATGCTTCCGACCGTGCGTCCATGACGGAGAAAGACAAGCCACACAAAGGCTGACCGGCGAGCTCCAGCCGCGGCCAAAGTCGGGCTGTGGCACCACCCACCCTCCCGGACCTTACCGGCGGGGTCGCTCTCCCCGGACCTGACCGGCACCACTTACCCTCCCGAACCTGACGCACGGCCCGCTCTCCCCGGACCTGACCGGCGCGGTCGCCCTCCCCGGACCTGAGCGGCACCACCCACCCTCCCGAACCTGACGCACGGCCCGCTCTCCCGGGACCTGACCGGCGCGGTCGCTCTCCCCGGACCTGACCGGCACCACCCACCCTCCCGGACCTGACCGGCATGGCACGCTCTTCCTCTGAAGTAACGCCGTCGGTCACGTCCTGACCGGCAAGCCGGGCGGAGTGTTACCGCTGGTCGGGCTTAAGTCGGCCGTCGGGCCGCCCCCTGCCGGGATTTGCGGATATCGGCCGAGCTCGGGCCGGCGCGCTGTTCTGCCATGCCGACCCTCGCCGTCTGTGCTGGACCCCAGTGAACGCCGGCGAGGCCCCATGTTCTGACCCCCGATGAACGTCGTCATGGCCGCCCGCCCGAACCCCAGTGAACGCCATCACGGCTTGCTGTCTTGACCCTCAGTTAACGCCGTCATAGCCTCCTGCTCTGGCTCCCAGCGAGTGTTGTCATAGCCTCCGGTCTTGGCTCCCAGTGAACGCCATCATAACCGTCTACCATCACCCGCAGTGAACGCCATCATGACGATGGACTCCAACAGCGGCTTCGATGGTCTGGATCGGGCCATCTGCGTGCGGATGAAGTCGACGCTGACGAAGCGCGGCTGCCACTTCAAGACGCCGGGCTACCGGGTACGGTCGACACCAAACCGATCAACGTTGGCTGACCGGAATCAATACGGCCAGCGTATGGCTAAGTGCTAATTTCGGGTTCATATCGACACTGTGAGCAATCACTAATTTCGGGTTCATATCGATACCGTGAGCAACCACTAATTTCGGGTTCATATCGACATTGTCAGCAATCACTAAGTTCGGGTTCATATCGACACTGTCAGCAATCACTCATTTCGGGCGCACATCGACACTGTCAGCAATCACTGAAGGTCGGATAGCTGCCGTTGCTGCTTGCGTTGGAGAGGGTGGCAAACGTCTGGCTGGTGAGTGCGTCTGACCTGTAAGGCGATCCCGGGTCAGTCGCTCCTAGCCGGCTGCCGCTGCTGGCTGACCCGGTGGCCGACCCTCTCGCAGGTGGTGCTGCTTCAGTGCCGGCTGCGGCCGCAGTACGCCTTCTCGCACAGTCGCAAGCCGTCCTCGCCCAACCTGATGGGTCTGGTCGCCATGGCGATCGCGCTGCCGCCGCCCAGCGTGAACGAGGTTCGGCTGGACGCCGACATGTTCGTGACCCGGCTCACGTTCGACTTCCAGATCGCGCACTGCGAGCCCAAGTGAGCGAGCTGCACGGCGCGTGACCGGCTGGGTCCTGAGTGGGACCCACTGTCACCTGGGGTCTGGGTATTGTCGCCTGGGGTGTGGTAGGGCTGGTTGGGGTAGTGTCACCTAAGGCGTGGTAGGGCAGGCTGAGGTACTGTCACCTAAGGTGTGGTATGGCTGGCTGGTGTTACTGCAACTGGGGTGTGGCGGGTGCACTGGGTAATGTCACCTGGGGGGTGGCTTGGGGTTGCCTGGGGTACTGCACCTGGTGGTGAGGTGGGGTGCCTGGGGTGTGTACTGTCAAATGGGGTGTGGCGGGGTTGCCTGGTGGGGTACTGTAACATGGGGGTGGCTGGGTTTGCCTGGAGGTACTGTCACCTGGGGTGTGGCTGGGGTTGCCTGGGGTACTGTCACCTGGGGTGTGGCTGGGGTTGCCTGGGGTACTGTCACCTGGGGTGTGGCTGGGGTTGCCTGGTGTAATGTCACCTGGGGTGTGTGCTGGGGTGGCCTGGTGGTACTGTCACCTGGGGGTGGCTGGGGGTGTTGCCTGGGGTTCTTCACCTTGGGGTTGGGTGGAGGGGTGCCTGAGAGGGTTGGGTATGTCAAATGGGGTGTGGCTGGGGTTGGCTGGGGTACTGTCACCTGGGGTGTGGCTGGGGTTGGCTGGGGTACTGTCACCTGGGGTGTGGCTGGGGTTGGCTGGGGTACTGTCACGCCGAGTCTGACAGGGGCTGGCTGGCTGGCTTGTACGCGAGTGTAATGCATTTTTGTGCACATATATAAAACGTATTTTTCCTATTGCACATTGCCGACGCACTTTGCACTGAGGAGCTTATCTGTAATACCTCTAGCAAGAGCTGTGATGTAGTCTGTGAGCTCTCTCCAGCGCCTGTATTAACTGTCGCCCTTCCAGGGTGTCCGACATGCTGGACTACTCGCCCGATGACATGACTGGCCAGAGCCTGTACACCCTCTGCCACGGAGCGGACGTCTACCTGCTCAGGAAGGCGCACGTGGACCGTGAGTAGCGAGGCGGTCGTCCACGCTGTTGGGTCTGGCGTTTGTCGGCTCGCTGCGCCTGCGCACAGCTCTGCGCTGGACCCTTGCACTGCCGGTGTCCTGAACGTGTCAGCTCGTGACCTGACTGATCGGTGTCGGCCAGGCTCGCTCTGGGTCGCGTCCGTTGCACCGATTCCGTTCCGGCATCCTCCGCCGCCAGATGAACCGGACCGTGTGGGTGTGAAGTCTGCTCTATCAAAGCTCAGTGCGTTGCCATCATATTACCCACGCCTTATGACAGAGGCGCTGTGCGACTCACCAATGACGCCCGTGCTCGCCGGACATCGGCAGACTACGCCTTCACGCCACTGCACTGTCAACTGTCGTGCTGACGTGCTGACGTCACTGACGTGCTGTGTTGTGCCACAGTGCTGAACAAAGGACAGGTGCTGACCAACTACTACCGCCTGCTCAACAAGTCGGGCGGGTTCACCTGGCTGCAGACCTGCGCCACGATCGTGTGCAATAACAAAAACGCCGAAGAGCAGATGATCATCTGTGTCAACTACGTGATATCGTAAGTGTCGAACTATGCCGACGGACCTTAAACTATCGTAAGTGTCGGACTATGTATCGTAAGTGTCGGACTATGCCGACGGACCTTAAACTATCGTAAGTGTCGGACTATGTATCGTAAGTGTCGGACTATGCCGACGGACCTTAAACTATCGTAAGTGTCGGACTATGTATCGTAAGTGTCGGACTATGTATCGTAAGTGTCGGACTATGCCGACGGTGGACGTTAAATGAGCTGGCACAGATCCACACTAGGATGTGCTGGCTGACTGCGGCATTGCTTCATCCCAGAGCGAGTTTATATGGCGCCTGGAGATGCGCGAGGGAGCTGGCTTTCTATAAGTAGTGCCGACCATGCCGGTTGGTCTGCCAAATGCAACCATATGAATTGGTAGACATACAATAGTAACATGATATTGTGCAATTTTGTACTCCTCTACATTTTTAGCTCGTGCAGATGGTCGACATATTAATGTGTACAAGAAATCCTTCTTTTACTTTTACGAGAAATCGACAGTTCTGGGCGTCTCTGGTACATGGTTTTGGCCGGAGCCGGTATCGTAAAACGGCGAGGCGTGTGTATGAGATTTCTATGTCGAAGATCTCATTCGAATATCACTGACCGGGGAGCCTCGTTTCAGCCGAACGGAGCACGACGGCGTGTTCATGGACGGCTCCCAGGTGGCAGGCAGCGTGCATCTGAAGCCGGATGACGGCAGTGGCCACGCAGCTGACGGGTCGGACAGGCCTGGTGAGTCTTCTCTCTCTCTCTCTCTCTCTCTCTCTCTCTCTCTCTCTCTCTCTCTCTCTCTCTCTCTCTCTCTCTCTCTCTCTCTCTCTCTCTCTCTCTCTCTCTCTCTCTCTCTCTCTCTCTCTCTCTCTCTCTCTCTCTCTCCTCTCTCTCTCTCTCTCTCTCTCTCTCTCTCTCTCTCTCTCTCTCTCTCTCTCTCTCTCTCTCTCTCTCTCTCTCTCTCTCTCTCTCTCTCTCTCTCTCTCTCTCTCTCTCTCTCTCTCTCTCTCTCTCTCTCTCTCTCTCTCTCTCTCTCTCTCTCTCTCTCTCTCTCTCTCTCCTCTCTCTCTCTCTCTCTCTCTCTCTCTCTCTCTCTCTCTCTCTCTCTCTCTCTCTCTCTCTCTCTCTCTCTCTCTCTCTCTCTCTCTCTCTCTCTCTCTCTCTCTCGCGGCCATGCGCCTATTTCATAGTCACTCGTCGGTGGCTTGTCGCTATTCTGTCTCCGGTTCAGATGATGCGATGCTTTTTATTTATTTTCGTGGAAGCTTTTTAGAACCACAAAAATAAGCAACCTTCTAGACCGAGCATTGTTCAACGCTAGCACCATTCATCTGAGACCACCCATCTTGACAACGCTGGGAAAGGTGGTCGGAACATGGCTGACACTTGCGCCCTCTCTCAGATGGCAGCAGTGCGGCTTCAGAATCGTCGCCAGGGAGCAGTGAAAACGCAGGCGAGCTGCGCATAGATGGCGTGGCAGACTCCAAAGGTCCTGCCAAGCACCTACCGCAAGACCACACCAAAGTGAAAACCGAGGTAAAGTGGCAATAAAGGTCTCACGTCTCTTCGCACACTTTCGGTTCTTCTTTTAATAAGCTCATATAATATAGTATCACTTAGATATGATGCTAGCTTTGCATGGTGCAGCTCAAGCGTTTAGTAAGTTACACGCATTAGAAGTGCTGATCACCCCTGGTGTGCTTCGGCACTTCAATAGCGATGGCAGTCCATTGCGCCCAACAGCGATGCAAACACACCCAGGGTTATATGAACATTCGGTGAGGCCTGACTGACCACTGGCTGGACGCCCGGTGGTAAGTCAGCTGTCTGAAGCCGCCGGAGTTTCGCGTTTGTCGGCACTATTGGGCAGCATGACCCGGAGCGCCAGCCTCACTAACCGCGTCTGCTCCCGCCGGCAGACGGGCGCCGCGTTCGAGCCGCCCGAACGGCGCGAGCCGGCCGCTGCGCTGGGCCTGTCGGTGCCGACGGCGGCCGCGCCGACGTCGACGGACGCGGCGGCGCGCGGCAGGAAGCGGAAGCTTGCGCCGGAGGAGGCGGCAGCCGAGCCGCGTCCAGCGGCGGCCAGTCCGCGAGCCGCCGGCCCGCTCGACGGCCGCGAGCCAGCCCGCTGGAGGCCGACCCGCTGCGCGCCGGCCGACGAGACGAGCTCAGTGAAGGAGCTCGAGTCGGCCATGTCGAAGCACCTGCCGGGAGAGCCGACCGACTTCAGCGCCGACGCGCTGCTCAAGAACCAGCAGCGGCCGACCATCCAGTGGATCGGCGCCGGTGGCCAGGCGCCGGCCTTCCACCCTGCTGCGCCAGCTGTACGCTAGCCGCGAGAGCGTCATCCGCTCCAACATTCAGGCGGCCGCCAGTCGCGCCTACTACCCAGACATGCAGAACATGCTGCCTACACCCCCCGGCGGCGAGGCCTACAACGAACAGTTCTACAAGTTGGCAGCAGACGGATACGCGCTGCCGTACGGCGCCACCGCCGTTCCCACCGGCTACGAGTACCACACGATGACGCCGCCGTCGTCCGTGTCGCCGCGGGACAAAGCGCCACACGGCGACCAGTTCGACCCGCGTTTTGAGCCGTTCAAGCCGCAGCCGTACCCGTACCTGGCCGGCCTGGAGCAGGGCCAGTTCGGGGGCGAGCCGGGCCGCCTGTACCCGGACCCCGCCGGCTTCCACCTCTACCACAGCTCGCCCAAGTCTCCCGGCAGCTACGACGCGCTAAAGTCACCCGCCTGGTACACGCCGCAGTCGTAGGACCACCGGCAGACAGCGTGGCGACAGCGGGCGCCGGCCGGCGGCGGGCCGGGCCGAGTCTCAGTTACCAGGCCGTCGGGCCGGCCGTCGTGACGCGGTCCGTTACTGGCGCTGGCCGGCCGACCGGCCAGCGGGGCGGCCCGACACACCGCCTGCCATCGACCAGCCGCTGTGCGTGACCGCACCTGACCTGCGGTCGGTGGACCTCTGCGGAGCGCTGCTGGCCCGGCACCAGTGGCCGCGCGCCGATGAGGGCCACGTTCGCGACGCGGTCGTTTGGCTCTGTTTCACGGCCGCTACCCGCTCCCTCAGATATGCACTGGGCGAGCGGCTGCCCGTCGCGGCACTGGCCCGAGTCTCAGAGCTATCCGTCGATCAGTCTGATTTACACGCATATCATGGTGCCATTGTCATTTGGCGATCAGCGACTGTGGTTATGGGTACACTGTCGTACAAACAGCAGAGTATTCTTTTCCTCCTTGTTGGCGTGGCGGCCCGTTGTGGCGGGCGTCGACCGCCGCCACGCGCCCAGCCCTGGTGAGCTTACCCCACCCTGCGCGGGCGAGGTCATTCTTTCGTTGGTCGAGCAGACGACGTCGAAGGCGCGGCAAGACGTCTTCAGTATCTGTGATTCCTAGTTTACGTTGTTTACCGTACTTGTCTGGGAGCGCCGCGCGCTGGTGGCGCCAGCGGAGCGCGCGGCGAGGGCGTCACGTTTCACAGGGTACGATTCCATAAGCGGGCGGTCTGGCCGGACGGCGTGCACGCGAAAGACACGGTACCAGGTCGAGGCGTGTAGATACAGTAGACAATGCGGGATGCGCGATGACTATTTATTCACGTGTATATAGGACAGTGAGACGTAGGTTGTTGAGTTTTGTTTTGACGGGCGGGAGGACGCGGCTCCGGTCGTCCCCGGCAAGCGCTGCCACGTATTCACCGCTTAGTATTGTCGTATCCGCATTCTTAGTCGATACCTAGTTGTTCTCGCAATCATTTAAGTGTTATCGAAAAATAAAGCATCGAGACACCTGTCCTGTTTCTCTGACGGCTGTTCCTGGCTGGTTATCGACGAGCCGGAAGCCACTTTTGGAGCGTGGCATTGACCGGGTGGGGAGGGGAGGCGAAGGTACTGTGATTCTGACAGCCGTGAGGCATCCAATGCGGTCACTCACCGAGGGCATCGGCGTCCAACCGGAACACAATAATAGCGCGTCTGGTGGTCATTTTTTTTTAGCATGGTGTGGTCCTGCGGTCAAATTCAAGGTCTGAGGAACGAGTACGCAATTTCGCACAAACATTACTGGCTGATTTCCTATTTCAGACCATCCGAATCTTCTTGAGTAAAAGCTATTAGCTTGCTCCGGGGTCGTACCTTCCAAGGATCACCGTGGAAGGTAGGACTTGTAAGTTTGATGCTGCCATGCCAATAACTTTGACACCACTAGGCCAATTCAAGGGCCAATTTATGGCGAAAATCAAAGTATTTCAGCGTTACTTGTCAATATATAAGTACTCAATACCAATGTGGACAAGATGTCACGCAGCAACATAAAACACACACACACACACACACACACACCACACACACACCACACACAACACACACACACACACACACACACACCACACACACACAAACACACCAACACACACACACACACACACACACACACACACACACACACACCACACACACACACACACACACACACACACACCACACACACACCACCACAACACACACACACACACACACACACACCACACAACACACACACACACACACACACACACACACCACACACACACACACACACACACACACCACACACACACACACACACACACCACACACAAACACACACACACACACACACACACACACACAAACACAACACACACACACACACACACACACACACAGAGTTTCTGGTTCATTCTGAGCACATTGGTACGTAGTTTTGTGTGTTTTGAGCATACGTACATCATGGGGAGCTGGTTAATGTATCAATCGGCCCACCTCGCGGGATCGGTGAGTTCGTCGGCTGCTGCCCGCCGCCCACACCGTCCCTCAATCGCCGTGCAGTATTTCTAGAAAAACCGTCATCTCTCAGAACTAGAAGCCCCAGAAACACGTTGCGAGTGTCAAAACACGCGAACGTCACATGGCTTACTGAACATTTGGGTGTCGTAGCACTATATGCCGAAAAAATATTGTCAGAAAGTGCTAGGGGGGGGGGAGAACATCGCCCCCGACTCCCCTACAGGGTGGGGGCTTAACTGTGATGCAGTTGGTACGCAATTTCAGTAAAAAGCTCCGCACATGTGTGGGGTTTTGAACTGAAATAGCCGAGGGACGAAGGTCATTGATCCGATCATTGATTAGTCATTGACCGAATGATCATGCAGATTGTTTGGTGCAATCCACAGCCCTGCCAGTATTAAGACCTAGCCCCTTAAGTTTCCCAGCTACACGCCAGCGAAGATTGCAGACTATTTCAGGGACTACTTCAAGGTCATCTAGGCACCCCGGACGCCTGGGAAACGTCATTCGAATCCTGCGATCGCATTGGCCATGCGGCGGCCTAGTCCAAAAAATATACTTGCCGTCATTCCTATTTGATGTTCGTGAGCACGAGCTCCAGATATAACAACCGCCAAGTGGTTCCCAATCAATACTGTACAAGGTGCCACGACGCAATCAAACAATTACGCAGTAAGTAATATTTTTACTAAATAACAAACGGTGTTGCTTACGGCAGTCTTTTCCACTTAAAGTTTCGTTGAAAGTTGAGGCACTGCCGCTGGCTCTGCCCAGCCCCCACCTCCTGTTCCTACGCCTACATGATTTAATCTTACGAATAGTTCAGGTGCTGCACCAGTAATTTTCTGCATATCATTATTGCATGCAGCTAAACCCGCGCGAGGCTACAACTCTTTGGACGCGACGACAGAAGTCCAAGGCAGGGCGGGTGCGTAATCCATCAGTTATCTCACCTGTCCGCTAATAATCGTCCATGTGCCTGTCGAACCTCACGTTAAGCATAGCAATATTGTCATCCCATATTGCAACACTGACCACACATTTGATCAATATGGTTGCATTCTGGCCAGTACCTTTTTAGAACCGCCCCGCGTTACGAGCCCAGCCGCCAGATCGCCAGGTGGTTTCTTCCATTCTGTGTGCAGGAGCTGCTGCACCCCTTTGCTGTCAAAGCCGGCGCCGTGCGACCCCTCGAGATGTTCGCTCCTGAACTTGATCAGGGCGTCATAACAGATTCAGCCATCAGCATACACGCCCAGTTTATATTTTTATGCGAGTATAGCTATCGTTTGCACATTCATAAACCCCTTGCCAACACCGCGGCAGTTCACATCCATGAATATCCTACACTGAAATAGCGTAATTCCAACGGCGAATAGTCGAAAAGATACGGATTTCATGAACGACGCTTTGCGATGTCACCAGCTTTCCAAACACGGTGTATGCAGCACAACTCTGCGCCCGGCCTTCTTTCCCACGCCACAAAACGCTTCGATACGTAGACGTCGTGTATTTCGAACATCGGAAGTCTGTCAGGTTTGTGACACTTCAAAACATACACTCGCGCATTTCGCTGACCAGACAGCGCCGACAACACAACAGCAGCCGAGGCACACTCCCAAGGGAGCACACGCAGCCGAGCCCGGTGGCCCACGTGGCGCCTGGGTTTGGCAGATGAGGCCGACGGACGCCGCCGCCGTCGGCGCGCGCGCACCAGCCATGCGAAGGTGGCCGGCCCCACTAACAGCAGGAGATGCCGTTCACACGAGGATGGCTGCAGTGGGTGAGGGAGCGTCGGTTTAGCGCGTGCCCACTCGTCGCGCCGCCTCGCTCAGTCGGCCTGTGACGAAGCGAGGCCACGCAGCCCGGCACGGACGAGACATGGGGCGACCGACCGGGCGTCGGTCACCGCAGACAGCGCAGGATGTCGTCCTTCTCGGCCGACAGGAACTGACCGATGACGGCCAGCGGTGCCTCGGGCCGCCGGATCTGCAGCAGCATCGCCTGGCGGAACTCCTCCCGGGCGCCCTTGTCGACGCCACGCGTCGCCATGGTCCGCTGCCTGCCGTAGACGCATGGGCACAGACCTCAAACACGGACACACACGGGCCCACCAGCCGCAACAGCGCGCTCCTACACGGTATCTAATGGCATGAATAAAAAGACGTCTCTCAACCGATCATTATGATCATTAACATACCGCACAGGCGTCTGTTGCCGCCAGGTGATCAAATCTCCAACCACATACATGCCATGTTGTCTCTGGGATATACCTCAAATAAACTTAGAACTGCGTCAAAATGCATATACTTGCGAGAAAAATGTCATCCAGGTTATACGACGGTACACAAAACAGAGTTTATCCGGCAAAATCCCGACATCGCTGAAAATACTGCCACAGGACAAAAAGACTGGTCCCGAGCGGATCTGATATACTTCACCAACCATCCAGTCCGGTGCCACCTTCACAGTCCCGTTTAGCCTCCCATGCGGGTCAAATTCGGGACCGCCTCACTGATCAGTCAGATCCGGTACAAGCTCCCCAGGTCAGCCTCCCCTGTACCATCTCCCCAGCAGGTCAGGTCCGGTGCTACCCCCCCGCCCCCCTCCCCGAGGTCGGGTCCGGTACCATCCCCCGTCCGATCAGATCCAGCGCCACCTCGCCACCAGGTCCAGTACCACCTCGCCAGCAAGTCAGGTCCAGTATCACCTCCCCAGGTCAGTTCTGGTACCCCTTCCCCAGGTTAGGTCCGGCACCACCTCCCCAGCGGGTCAGGTCCGGTGCCATCTTCCCGTCCGATCAGATCCAGTACCACCTCTCCAGCAGGTCAGGTCCAGCATCACCGCCAGTGGATTTCTGTTCACACCTGGGTTGCTGCGCCGGCACCAGGTTGAAGGTCAGTCCACCGCCGTACTCGGTGCTCAGGTAGACAAACTCCTCCACCATGTCCGGGCAGGTGACGTACTGCACGAACTGCGGGTAGCTGAAGGTGCCCCGCTGCTGGACTAGCTGCACGAGCTGCCGGAGTCACAGCCAGGTGTGACGGTGTCGTGCGCGCACTCAGTCCGAACACGACTCACACGCACAAAGGCTGGGCACTTCACCAGCGTTCAGGTCACAGACCGATTCAAAGAAATATCAATTGCGGGGTCCCGGACAACATGGTGTGACATGTTCCGCGGGCGCCAGCCCCAGAACGGCGACGACCAGAAACACGTCAGACACCATGCAGGGGCTGGCTTATCGGCACCGATCGGTGGTATGATGGCGCCTACACACGATGGCTCACTATCACAGCGCAGCCTACTATCTCGACGATCTGTATTCTGCAAGTGCGTGTTTTATTTGGAGTTTATATCACCAGCGCGGCCGCCAGCCGTTCGGCCCCGTGTCGGACGGCCCCAGCAGGAACTCGCTGCGCACCTTAGAGAAGGCGGCCTCTTCGGTAGGCCAGTCGTGCTGGAGCAGCACCATCAGGTGACCCACCGCGCTGTCGTGGAACGTGGTCGAGCTCAGCACCTTCTGCTGCGGGACCAAAAAGGATCACGTGCAGCATGGCTATCGCAATACCATTTAACCCGACGCACGTTAGAGCTTAGCCCCTGCGTGGCACACAGACCACGTTGCACAGACAGGTCTACGACTATACATGCAAACAGTGGCAGGGTACCTGACTGCCCGTCTTTACACTAAGTCTGACAGAAGCTAATATTTTAGCACGTTTTGTACAACTCGTTGCTTTCTAACTTGCCGGATATAGATTTTCTGTTTCTTTATCACCTTATCACCGTATCACAAGTAACAGTGAAATTTACACATCAATACAAACACTATCGAGAACTAAAAACCAACCCCGAAAGCATTCTATATGTGATGTGCAGAGCTCCGTGCCACGCTGACCTACCTGGAGGCAAAGGGTGAGCATTTTGATGCAGTACTTGCTCACGTCAGCCTGCGTGTAGCTGAGGAAGTGCAGGTGGCGCGGCTGGGTGCACTGGGCCACCACCTGTGACTTGGCCGGGTCGCCGGGCGCGGCCGGCAGCAGCGGCCCCGTCAGAACGTGCAGACACAGCTCGCCCGCCAGCTGCGGGGCCGGCGACACAGACGGCGTCAGACCGACACACAGGCGGCGTCAGGCCACCATACAGGCGGCGTCAGACCGACACACAGGCGGCGTCAGACCGACACACAGGCGGCGTCAGACCGACACACAGGCGACGTCAGACCAGCACACAGGCGGCCGTCAGACTGACATACAGGCGGCGTCAGACCCGACACACAGGCGGCCGTTCAGACCGACACACAGGCGGCGTCAGACCAGCACACAGGCGGCGTCAGACCGACACACAGGCGGCGTCAGGCCAACATACAGGCGCCATCAGACCGACATACAGGCGGCGTCACACCAGCATACAGGCGGCGTCAGACCGACATACAGGCGGCGTCAGACCGACACCCAGGCGGCGTCAGACCGACACACAGGCGGCGTCAGACCAGCATACAGACACGCACCAGGCTCGGCCAGACGGCTCAGACACCAGACTCCCGGCCAGCTGTGCGAGCCGCATCGCACTTCATATATGGAGTGACTACCCGCACACAGCACAGACGTCAGACCGGAGAATGCGTGGAGAAATACGTGGATCTTGTGGAGTACAATAGTCACGTCGCTGACTTTCACTCCCACAACTCAGCCAAGTCCACTAACCGGCTCGACTGGTCCTCGCAGTCACTGGCAGTCGCGTAAAACTTGCTTCCGTCACTGACAGCCTGCAATGAGCCTCCCCACATTTGGCGTTTCGTACTGTTTTTGTGAACCTGGTTGTTCGCACTGGCTTTATCCATTCCTGGCGGCCGGCAGCGTTCTTCCCGGTCCGGACACTGACCGTCCCCGTCTCCTGTTCCTCTCATCGGTCCTATCTGCGGCTGGCCCTATCTGTGCCGGTCAGTCCGGGTTCGTTTACCACCGTCCCTGTCGGTCTGAGCTGCCCCGTCCCTCTCCCTCCCCCCCCCCCCCCTCTCCGTCGCCCCACATGCCTGGTAGTCGGCGGTGCCGTAGGCGGCGGCCGCGCGCTGCAGCAGCTGGCGGCAGCGGCGCGGCCCACCGGCGGGGGACGGCTGCTGCGCCAGGGCCGTGCGGGCCGCCAGCTGCTGCAGCGCGCCGTCGTACAGGTGCGTGTCCGTCACGAACGACTGGAACCAGGGCCAGCTGTCGGCGTTCAACGACTGCCAGACCCGGGCCAGTTCTGCAGCGCAGAGTCGCGCGCGTCAACCGACAACATCGCCAGGCGTGACCAATGCGTGTCAGGGAGCGCACAAGGTCGTCACAGGCGGCAGCCGAGTCACAGCGGCATTTGTTGCTGTTGCATTTCATCCTAACATAGTGTGGAGATCGAAAGCCTCACAGCAACATTTCTGGCATGAAACCCAAGCATGACATCGAAATCAAAAGCGTAACTTACAACTCCACAAAACGAACAGGCGGATGGCCGCAGCGGGGGCTGACGCGCGAGGCCCAGAAGGCCCGCCCGGCAGGAGAGAGCCCGTGGCCCAGGCGGCAGACTCCTGCCTGCCGCGTCACGCGCCTACCTTTCTCGAGCAGCGGGTTCTGGGCGAGTAGGCGCCAGCACCGCAGGGCCGTGAGGAAGGCCAGCGTCAGCTGCTGTGGCCGCAGCGTCACCTGGCGCGACACCGTCAGCAGCGGCCCGCTCGCCTCCTCCTCGGAGCGGCGCCGGCGGCCGGTCGCCGCCACGCCCGGCGCCGGCGCCGCCGCCGGCTCGGCGAACGCCTCCACCAGCATGAGGGCGGGCTGGCGCCGAGCCGGGCGCGCCGGCGGCACCTGGCGGCCGAGACCGGCGTCCGTCACGAGGTCAGGGCCAGTCCCGCTCCGGGGATAGCTGGCCCGGCGGGCTTGCCCCAGGCAGGCGTCTCCGGCCAGCCGCGAAAGCAGCGCACATCTCCCCATACGCGCCGGCTGGCACACTGGTGTGAAAATCGCTCGGCTCTGCTCGATAACTCGCCAGACACCCTGCCTGTCAACCAGCGCGACCGTCGCCCGCGCCCGCCATGTAAACGGACGCCTACGCTCCGATTTCGTTTACGAAATGACCAGCTCTTTAAGCCACAAAATGGGTGGCGGGCAACAGGGCAACACAAGTCAACAATGTACTGGCGCGGCAGGCCGGTCGACAGTCAAGTCAGCACCATCCAGGGAGCGTTTTAAGGCTGGCTGGCGGCGGGCCGCAGCGCCGGCCGGTGTCGATCGGCCTGCCACGTGTCGCCACGTGTCGGCCTGCCACGTGTCGCCACGTGTCGACCTGCCACGTGTCGCCACGTGTCGGTCTACCGACCTGTGGCGAAGCTCGGGTCGGTGCGCTGCGTGTAGTCCACCAGCGCCTGCAGCAGCACGGCCACGGCGCAGTACACCAGCTGCCGGCGCAGACCGGCGTCCTCCAGCCGCGCCGCCTGCTCCCGATAGAACGAGTGCAGCTGCTGCCACACCAGGTCCCGGGACCTGTCCGACACCGGTATTATGCTTTCTGCGTTCTCTCCCGTGTACTGCAAGTCCCGAGCCTACCACTACAAACGTGCCACTTGGGACGGCCAGAAAACATCTCTGCGCGCCCGTGGTGTGCGATGGAAGATATGACTTAAAACATGCTGTTGATTTAGCACATGAACTTACAATCTTTTCGAGGACGCTGTTTTTTATCACAAGGTTGTGGTGACGTCATTGCGGATATGCCCGTCCTGGTTGGATGGGAAACTGTGAAGAAGGTAATGTTCAATTCGTTCCATACCCCTACCTCCGAAAAAAACACATGTCGGCTGAAAAATATGGTTCAGACGCAAAATGAAAATCACAATCACAAAATCAAGTAACCGACAGATACACTTGCGGAAAGCAATGCAGGAATACACGTGGCAGGAGTGACCGGACACAAGGATGGACGTCTAGCCGCAGCCGAACATTGTAAAGACTTGAGCTGGCTCCGGGAATCAGGCGAGGCGTCCCCTCACATCGCAGCATCGCAGCTGGCTTCCCCAGCCGAGGTCGTCCCAACACCTCATCACGCTTGGGTGGCATTCTGTGCGTTGGCAGGCCACGGCGAGCCGCTGGCCGGCCGCCATCCCCGAACACGACTGCACCGCCCAGCGACGGACCGCCGACCACCGCGGCACGCTCACGCGCGCTCACCGTTTATGCGTGAACACGTCGGCCAGCTGCCAGCGCAGCTTGGCGGCCGCCTGTTGGCAGAGCGTGGCCATGTCCTGCCAAGGATCGGCCAGCCGCAGCTCGACCGGCTCGTCGGCGCCCGTGCCCTGCCGGCGACACACCGTACAGGTACTGACGGCGGAGCAGCACGCGGCAGGCAGGTGCGGCGGGGCGACCCGGCCGGCCACGGCCCGCTGCAGCCGGAGAGCAGCCGCAGCCGCAGCGGCAGCAGCAGCCGCGTCACCACGGCCGTCGCGCCGTGCCCGCAGCTGTTAGTGGCTGCGGGCCGGCAGCCATCACGGCGTCGACTGCGGGTCCGCCAGCAATGCTCGTCTAACACCACCATGAGAACGGCGCAGAGCGAGCACACTGGCAGAGGTGACCGCCGCCACCCGGCCGTCACATCATCTGCCGGTTGGCGGGAACAGGCCGCCGCTCGGCGATGCCACTCTGACGGGCGACCAACTGCGCTGTCATAAGACCTATCCGCGGCTGGCGGTACGGACCCGGTTCCGCAGGTGGAGGCCGGCTAGGGCATGCACCACGCCGCCAATGTCGCCGGTCGTGCTGTATGGTCCCGTGACCTCTGACCCGTACCAGTGAGGTGCGGTTCGCCTCCTTACCCCAGCGTCGGCGTGTGGTGGCGGCCGGTGTCGGTGTCCGGCGGTGTGACCCCACTCACCTGTATCTTGGTGCTGTCTGCCGTCACGTAGCAGACGTAGAACTCGACCGTGCGCAGGAAAAGACGGGTCAGCTGTTTGGCGGTCAGGTCCGACACCTTGGAGCTGAGCAGGCTGGGCAGGAGGTCACACACTGAAAACCGCCGCAGAGAGTCAGCTCAGACGTAGAAGCAGGCAACCACCCTGGCAACACTCACCGACTGACGAGCCCATCGTAACATCAGCGCAGCTGACCCAGCACGCCAGTAGACGCCTGGGCTCCAGCCCGTCTCAGTGCCAGTAGGCGCCTGGGCTGCGGGCTGTCCCAGGGCCCGACGACGGCTGGGCTCCAGCCTGTCCCAGGGCCAGTGCGCGCCTGAGCTCCAGCCTGTCCCCGAGCCAGTAAGCGGCTAGCTCCAAGGCCGTCTCGGCTGGAGTTTCAGCCATCATCCCGAATTTCAGGCGGCGTGGTGGCTAGGCTGAAGTCGCAACTTTCAGTGACACATGCACGCTACCAGATGTGGAGCAGCCACTCGCTATTGTAGGCTACCCTCCCAGTTTTTGGAACATCCAGGCTTGGAGTGTATTGCGGCAGGTCAATAAAAAATGTTAAGCTATGTAAGACAACATACACCATCTACTAGCTCGCAACGCCGTACTGGAGAAACGCTGACAACAGTGTGTACAGTGGCCACCCACCGAGAAACTTCCTGTACTTGTTGAGCGGCGAGCTGAAATGGGCGTGCTTCTCCGTTGTCAGCAGCAGATCCACCACTCTGGTCTGCGGACGGACGTTAGTTGAACATGTCACCGGATTGACTGCTTTGTGTGCTCCTCGTAGCCACATTTCATACCAACGAGCAATGTCCGTTACACTTATGACATAAGCCAAAGTTTATAACCCATGCATCGTTATATGTACGCACCCAAAGACGAACAAGAAAAAGTACATGAAGCCGTTATGGTTGCTAATGGAACTGGACAAGAGCATTGCATCCAAAACACAGAGCTCTGCCTCAACCGACATCCAATGGCTCACCGCAACTACGGGCTACAGCCTGCTTCAGCCGTGGGCTGCACATTTACAGCCAGTGAAGGAAACGGGATTCAACGGAGGTTGTTTTGTGGTCTCTGCTTTACCACGCAGAACACTATGGCCGCTCGGCGCCGACGACAAAGGGCTACAAACATCCTGGTGTCTGTTCAAGCCGTTCACGTACCTCCACTATCCGAGCCTGCACCTCGCCATGTGGCTGGTCAATTTGACGTTCAGCGTCCCACCGAGGCGCGGCCGGCCTGGGCGGGACCGACTACCGAGCCGCGCCACCCTGGCGGACCGCCTACTGACCCTGGGCGGGACCGACTACCGAGCCGCGCCACCCTGGCGGACCGCCTACTGACCCTGGGCGGGACCAAGTGCCGAGTCGCGCCACACTGGCAGGCCGCCTACTGACCCTGGGCGGGGCCGAGTGCCGAGCCGCGCCACCCTGGCGGACCGCCTACTGACCCTGGGCGGGACCGAGTGCCGAGTCGCGCCACGCTGGCGGACCGCTTACTGACCCTGGGCGGGACCGAGTGCCGAGCCGCGCCACCCTGGCGGACCGCCTACTTACCCTGGGCGGGACCGAGTGCCGAGCCGCGCCACCCTGGCGGACCGCCTACTGACCCCGTGCCCGTTGACCATGTGTGGGAACTTGTTGACCAGCAGCAGCACCAGCTGACAGTGCTCCAGCGTGTCCCGGCTCCGGTCGGCGATCACGGACAGCGCCCTGTGCTGCAGCTCTGTACGGCCGACCGTCATCCGTCACACACATGACCAGCAGTCACGGACAGCGCCCTGCGCTGCAGCTCTGCAACGGCCGACCGTCATCCGTCACACACGTGATCAGCAGTCACGGACAGCGCCCTGTGCTGCAGCTCTGCAACGGCCGACCGTCATCCGTCACACACGTGATCAGCAGTCACGGACAGCGCCCTGTGCTGCAGCTCTGCAACGGCCGGCCGTCATCCGTCACACGCGTGATCAGCAATCACGGACAGCGCCCTGTGCTGCAGCTCTGCAACGGCCGACCGTCATCCGTCACACACGTGATCAGCAGTCACGGACAGCGCCCTGTGCTGCAGCTCTGCAACGGCCGACCGTCATCCGTCACACACATGATCAGCAGTCACGGACAGCGCCCTGTGCTGCAGCTCTGCAACAGCCGGCCGTCATCCGTCACACGCGTGATCGGGTGACCCGTCACGCGCATTCACGTCAGGTGACCGGTCACACGCATTCCAGCTCACACAGCCATCGTATAAATCCCGAACCGGTGGTTGGCTCAATGGTCATAGTCCAGTTATGACATATCGTTAAGACAAAAAAGTGTCGGCATTGTGAGATGATAGTGCCCATCTTACGGCAAAAGCAGCGTCAATAGTGCTGCGTGCGACTTCAACCACAACACACTGATGTTAATTGCCGAGACTGTACAGGTCACGCACAAGAAGTTTGCACAACATCGATAACCTAGCCCTGGGAATGCCATGCTGCGAGAGGGAGTTTGGAGCGCTAGCTAGAGGACGTGAATCTAGAGCAGAAAACACTTCACACAGCCATACAGTGTGGCAATATTCGGCCACTTGGGTGGTAGGGATGGCGATGTTTGTTCTGCTACTCCGCGCCCCCTCCTCCGGCTTGCATGCTACTGTCTGATGCTCCCATTCCCGCTCGGGATTGACCAACCGCCTTTGACCCGAACGGCGATCAAGCCAGCATCCCAGCATCTAGGCGATGCGGGCTCGGTCAACCAGCCGGGAAGGTCAAATGTCAGCTTCGAATTCAGAGGGCAACGGATTAGCAGCCAACGAAGCGTGGCGCATGCCGAGACAGCCGGTGGGACAGAAGTCCAGTAGTGCGAACTTATACGCTATCCTTCACATCAAACAAAATTAATTTTGGAACGTTGAAAGAATCAAGCCCCGACCATCCTGGGGCCATCATCCATCCATCAGGCCATCTTGATCAGTCCTGAAGCTATCACCAGTAGAAACTCGTACCAATATGCCGTCCACACATACGTGATATGGTGGCTTGGAATGACTTATAAGACTCAAATTACTTCTGCACGAAATTTCCGCGATTTAACGTATTTTGACACTTACCAACAGCAGGAGAGATATCAGCGTGCTCCGCTTAGTCACCTTACATACCGATTACCTACCTTTCTGCGCTACACGTTCTGAATTATAAAAGCTTGCAAAGTTCATGAGAAGTGGCAGAACGGAATCGAAATAGGCCAATGTGGTACCCTAGGACTGGCCCTGTCCAGGTGGGCGAGCCGTACGAACCGGTAGACAGGTGACAGAACACCTGGCGCAGGAAGCGGCTCTGACTGTCGGTCTCTTCACTGCGCAGTGCGTCCACCACGCCGCGCATCTCGGCCCAGAGCGCCGGCTCGTCCGGAAACTCACGGCACCTGTACACGTCAAACCCCGAGATCAAATCACGGAGAGCATACACATCCGGAAACTCACGGCACCTGTACACGTCAAATCCTGAGATCAAATCATGTCGAGCGTACACATCAGGAAACTCACGGCACCTGTGCGGATCAGACTCCGATCAAATCAAGGGGAGCATACACGTCCAGCTGGCGCTGTGAGACGGAGGCCTAGTGAGTCAAGTTCGCCAGACGGCGGTCAGCATGGATTAAGTGCGAGTGGTTGGAAGTGTCTGGACAGGTGCCAGCTGGCCATCCTACAACACATGGCAGGGCATGGTGGCAGAACAAGGGGACGATACATAATTGTTCCATAATGTATCAACTCATAAGTCAGCAATGCAACCATCACAGCGAAGCAAATGAAACGTGATCACTGGAAAAGCATCACACTCAGCCAAGTGACTGCAGTATACAATTCCTACACACAGGGACACTGCCTGCTGTTAACTCACAGCCTTTCTAAGTGCGCTGCCGACTCCCGGATGCTCAGCGCCTCACGGTCCAGCCGGTAAGACTCAAACTGAAATGGAAGAAGTGAACAGATTGTGACATCAGAACCTGGAGAGGTCTGGAGAAGAGATGGAATGTTGGGGACACAATGGGATATCAAATCACCAAGCATGATGCATTTATATTGTGACAGAAATCTCCACATTCAAAACCCAAAACTAGGTATGTTTCATCATCTAGGATCTGGGCCACTGGGTTGGTATACATATATACACCAACCCAGTGGCATCCAAGTTTGTGTATGTACCTTTAAGTCTATATCTTAGGTCCCTGATGATGAAGGGAGAAAAGGGAGTGTACAAAAAGGTGCAAACAAGTATCATTTTCAATGTACAAATATAGTTATATTTATGTCCTTCCTTCCATGCACATAATGAGCATTAGATATTGATATAAGCTATGCATATATATATTATATAGTATGAGACTATAGATTAGATATATATATATATATAATATATATATATTATTATATATATAATTATATATATATATGTTCCTCTGCTTCTCTCTCTCTCGCTCTCTCTCCGCGCTCTCGCTCTCTCTCGCTCTCCCTCTCTCTCTCTCTCTCTCTCTCTCTCTCTCGCTCTCGTTCTCGCTCTTGCTCTCGCTCTCTCTCTCTCGCTCTCTCTCTCGCTCTCTACAGCAGCGTACATGAACCATACACTGCAATCAAGCACTCTGGTCATCTCCAGAGCTCGACTTTCATAACTAGCTTTTATACTGGGTTTGATATACTTCAGCATCTGAAGTACTACTCATAACATTTCTGAAGCAGCTGATATTTACGGGTCTAACCTGGATGGCAAAGCTTCTGGGAAATAGTGTTTTAGCCACCAGCATCCATGCCCTGGCTTGGTCAGGGTCAGACTTCTCTAGCTCCTTGGCTCGGCATGTAAAGTATGCCTCATCAGATGGAGCATTATGCATTGTTAGCTTCACCATTGATAAACCACACAATGGTCACTGAAATGATGAGATCATGTCACATCCACAAGCTGTGCAGGAACAAATGTAGGTGTGTTGTATATCCCAAGCACATAATTAGACAGCAAAAAAAATTTCAAGAACTAATGGACAATGCCATGAAATGAGAAATGCATCTAGCATGTTAGCAAACACAGTACCCGCTTCTTTACATTATTTGTGGCAACTGGCTTGCTCAGCAACATTTTTTTTCACCATTTAAAATGCCTGCATATCCTATCCCATATCTATAGATTAATTGAGGTGCTCAAAGTATCTTTCCACACCATTGTTCCCATTTCCCATGTCATGAAAGGCAAAGGAAATATAAATGGGTGCATATGGCAAACAGCCTTTGCAAACTAAATCCAAAAATTGCATTACAACATAGCTAGACCACATTTGCCTAAAACAGGATCAGACAAAACACACACAAAGGCCTGACAATCTGTGAGGTGCAACATCTTTCATTCCAGAGTGAATGAAGGCTCAGAAATACTCCGGCCCGATATAAGCAAACAATGCAACGCCGTTTGAGTGTATCCATTACAACATATTCCAATGTGTAATGACTGACAAATTTTCAAGCCTCTGACAGCTCCCGCACCGTAAAAAAACTCACAACCTGCGGCACTAAAGCCATACAATAGTAACCTATTGATGGTATTAATATGAAATGACGTGCAGAACATGGGGGTACATGCCCGCACATACATACATACATACACGCATGTACTTAAGATGGCTTTGCTGTACAATGACAACCGAAATTGTCTTTTGTGCGCAATTTTGAGACGCATTCACAGATAAAAAACATACTAGATTTGCTTACACACATGTGCAGTATATAATAAAAACTCTATCATTTTAGAGATTCATTTTCACTTAATTATCCTTCCTGAGACATGAAATGCAATATTTTTTTTCCCCTTTTGTGGTATTCAATAGATCATGAATGAACTGGACCCATTAACTTAGTGGTCACATTAGGTTTATAAAGATAAAAGGAAATAAAAACAGCTCATTATATCTCTTAACGTACTATTTAGCTAAACTTGTATTTTTTTAAACAGCAATACCTTTTACATAGAGACAAAAATGCAGCCACTAGGTCTAGGATATCTCTTCTTCGAAAATCGTCGCCTAGATCTGGTATCAGCATCAAAACAATGCACAGCTGAGAGTGGAAAGAGGTCAAAACATTCGGGAAGACAAGGGGTGGTCGAAGGCTGTGGGCTATACATGTCACAAAAAGGGTGCGAGGTGGACCGAGGGTGGTGGAGGTCTTTGTGAGGTCGAATGGGATTGAGCTGTGTTATCTTCAAGGACGTATTCCCATCCAGCATTATCCCTCGCGCTTGTAGCCATTCTGGCCTCTAGTGAGGACTCCAGCGACGGTGGTTTTTCGCCCCCACCGCGAAAGAAAACAAGGCTTGGTAGCATGCAGCAGGCCACGAATGGATGTTCCGAAAATGCTGCACACGGCGATGGAGCCTCTTCCACCATCAATGGATCTTCAACCAATGGACAAAGCTCATCTGGAAGACCGCCTAAAATATCGAAGAGGGATGTCGATGTTATCAGGCTGGTTGGACAGTACCTTCAGGATCTTGGACTGACGTGAGTTCATTGACATTTTGCCATGAAACCGACATTCAGGTTTTCATTGGCTGACATATACTTTTGGGGTATTCATGGAAACAACTTCAATAAAGATGAGTGGCATTATACAGTGGATAGGAAGTTATTGTTCCTTGCTTAGTTTGTCACCATGCTGTCTAAGTGGGTCAGAATGCTGTTTTGATGTGTCTGATGTGCCTTAAATTCATTTCAAAGTCAGTTAATATTCACAAGCTATGAAACTTTTTCTACCTGCCATCACATTGAGGCATGGATGTGTAGGCACAGAATGGCCTTGAGCCACTGAGTGAAATGAATGTGTTGAAAGAAACAAATGTGTTGGTGGTAGGAACTTACACCCTTTTCTCTAAAAAATGGTATGTGTGTCATTTGTACAACATTCATGAACTCAGCATGCCTAGCATCCTACGCTCACCCTAAGCCAGACTGCCAAAAATACACACTATACTGAACATCATGTGTGGTACAGCAATGTCACAATGATCATCTTGGTGCACATCTAGTACAATTACACAAATAGTGCAAATTTGAGTGCTTAGAGTTCAGTTCTTGGTCACCATCAATTTAAGCATGTGGAGAACCAGTGCTTCAGGTAATTATAATATTGTGAATGCAAGTTTGGGTTGAAATGCTACAGAACATTTTTCACCCAAAATCATTGGGAAGTTCAGTGTAATTTAGCTTGATCTAAGTTTATTACAAATGGGTACATGTCTCAGTGCACTGGCAGTTACATGTGTCACACAGGCATCTAGAAATGGGCATGGACTTTTGGAGATGGGCCTTAAGCATCATATGTGCTGTCCTGTAGATGCACATGAATATTTTGTCAAGCTGTCTATGTGTTTGTTTCCCTAGGATTTGTGTTTGTGCACATTCATTTAGATGAACAGTTCATCTAGGTTGCATATTCTTGATAGCTGTGATATGGGAGCATTATTCTAACAAATGTTATTACTTTGCATAATGTGGATGATATGCACTCATTTATTTTGGTCGGAGTTATGCATTTGCCCTGTCATGTGCATATTTTATTTCTAGGTAATGAAATCATACTCATATGAAATATATGACATGTTTCTGGTAGAGACAGCCCCAGTTTTCTTGGCATTATTCATGTCAGCTTCTGATATATGAAATGATTTATATTTTATCTTAATTTACTCATCAGACAAATAAATATTGTTATATCTGATCAAACTTGTTTTGTACATTCTTTACCCCAAGCTGGTATGCTTGCAATGCTTGTTTTTGTGAAATTATACTGAAATATCCTGTACTGTCTTGATCGCAATAACTATGCATAGATTTTCAACAAGATTTAAAAAGCTGCTTTTGCTTAAGATAATGAACATGATAATAATATGGCAATCAGTTGCATGTACTGCAGTGTTTGTGATTAAGTGGTGGTCACCTATTCATATTGGCTTGTAGGCCATTTAAAGTTAATTTCATGTAAGAATGTGTTTGTCTCCATTGGTTTGACTATGACTGTATTGTACTCGAGCCTTGTTTGGAACCGTGGTATTTGTAAATAGAAGCACATGTTTTGGCTTAAATATTTAATTATGGGATCTCCATTTCATTTTGCTCTATAGTTGGTCATGTGATACCTGTCACATGTGGTACTGAAGCTATTGCTGCCCTATTCATTGCAGCCCTTAGATATGTTAGGGATGGTATACTTTGAATGTTTAAGTATTCAGTACTTACATTAACCATCACCTTCATGGGGATAGGTACATACCCACCTTGACATTTTTAAGATTGGCTTAAAATCATTTTCAGCAAGTCTCCTGAAATTTTCAGTGTTTAATAGATTTAACAAGTATTCTGAAATGTGTTAAGTACAGGTCATATTAGGCTAGTGACCTAACATATATGTAGTCTAATCATGTAAGACAAAAACTTGTCAGTTTTGTTGACTTCTTTTCTGGCAGGATAGTTTATTTATCTGATAGCTTGGAGGTCTCCATTTTGGAGCATTTTGCAGCATTGCTGGCATTGGCCTAGCCCTGCCATTTACTAAATGGTAATGATGAACCAATTATGTCACAATAGGGGTGCCTCATTGAGCTTCCATCACCTTGAGGTCTGATCTGTGGTTGTTTATGTTTCTTTTCCATTACCCTTTAGCCCAGTGCAATCCTTAAATAAGAATGACATTCATTCCCAGATATGTCATTGTGACCTCAGAAATGTCAGCATTGGTCATTGACCTAGTTTAAACTGAAACTGATGTTTTGTGTGAATCAATTCTAACAAGCCACAGCTGGTGTCAGTGAAAAGGAACAGAATTGGTCAGCAGACATAGACTTAGAGAACCAAAAATGTCCTCAGTGAACTGTCCTGGCTTTTGCTATAAATTTCATTCTGAGAGATCATGTATGTGCAGTTGTTGTAACATATTAGATGGATGAATCCAAAGAGATAAGCTCAAGAGATGTTATTTAGAAAAAATGTGATCAAACATGACCAGATGGCATGTTGCCTGATATGACCTGGAATCTGATGTCATGTCCCAAAATGACCAGAATACATCTTGTTAGACTTTGTATGAGCTATCATGTAATGTTTCATTCATCACTCTGGCTATTTCCTACCATAAGATACCAGGGGTATATCAACACTCCTTTTTAGACTGTTGGTGATGCCAAAAATCCATGCATTGTCATTTTCAGCATGTCAACATGCTGTGATCTGCCCAGATAATTCACTGCTCTGATTTCAGTAAGAGTGTGGAGCAGCTCATGCTGGAGTCTGGACTCTGCCTAGACCATCCTGCAGCTGCCAGATTTCATGAGCACATTCTGTGTGGGGAATGGGTCAAGGTGAGTGCCAGGTGAAGACAACAGCTAGGCTTACTTTGCTTTGTCTTTGTTGTTTTGTCTCCATTGTGATGTTGTGATCAATTTGTGCCATGAACATGATGAGGCATTAAAGCATATCAGTCAGACTTGCAATGATCTCTATCTCCATCTAATCATCACCATATTTGGGACCACCCCAGATATGGTGGGTCCAAGCATTCCTTAAATGCTTGAATTTGCCTGATTTCCTGTTTTGATAACATCCAGAATGCACAAACTAAGTTCGCCACCCAGCCTGGCTGGCCTGCTGCCACAGGCTGGTCCCATCACAAGCTTACCTGCCTTGTTCCAGGCTGAGGCAGACCTGCAGGAGCTGAAAGGACTGCTGGATCATCCAGAGGATGTGACTGTCAGTAGATCATTTTCTGTGTTGTTACTGTGCTGATGCTGTGATCTCTGCTAGCTGTTTGTGCTATGAACAAGGACTGGTGCATCCAAGGACAAGTTCATGTGGTCAGCTGAAATAGCAGTAGCCTTGGTTAGTCTAGCTTACAGCCACTTGCATGATGGAGATCATTTTGTAATGCTGTTATACCCTAAGAGCTGTAGTGCTCAGGCCTGGCAGACAAAGATATGTAATAGGCAGGAACATTATTGAAGCTGTGAACTTATTGGCAACCTCATTAGCAGAAGTTGATTGCCTTGTTAAGCCTTAATGACAGTGACCCTGTTGGCATCTGAAACAGTGTTGGATCTAGATACCCTTTATGGTGAAAAAATACTTCCCCTTCCTCTCTTTTCATTCTTGACCACAGGTTCACAAGAACATGCTTCATTTCCAATGGATCATCAAGCCTCCTCACCAGATGTGTGCAAGTGTATGTGCCCTGCTTTCCATGCAGTGTTCTATTTAATGTCCCAGTGGGCTCTGTGGCAGTGTCCTGGTTTCGGTTGCTGTAGCAGGTGACGATGTTCAAGTGCTCTACAGTCCACAAAAGCAGTGCCCTCACCGAGCACCGCGGTCAGCCAGGGGTGCAGCTTGCGGTTGCTCAACTGCCAACCGTGCCCGCCCGTGCAGTGGCGGCCAAAGTTAACCTATGCCGTGAATGTAATTGCAAACCACAAGCTCCTATTTGAAAGTCTGCTATAGACCCTGTGCCCGCGACCAACACCCTTAACTAACCTTATAGGCGTGGTGCGTGCATTTCACGAATCCGGCTTAAGCACCATATTTAGAACTACTGTAATTAAGTGTTCCAGAACCACTTTCCAAGTCAACACCACTGCGTTGCTCGGTAATACGGCAAGCAGCTCAACGCCACAACGTTGCCTGCTAGCACAGACTATTATGGCGTTAGCTCTCGCACTCTGAACACACGACGCACCAACTGTGCCTTCAACCAATTTCGACGAGTTTCAAGCAATATCGATGGTCACGCATTCGCGTGTAGATGTTTGTGTTTACTTGGGGCCCTGCCGAAAGTGCGGTCGTATCTGCACGAGTTTAGAATTTGATTTCGTGCGTTTTTCTAGTCTGCAAAACTCACCTCACCTCACCTCACCTCACCTCACCTCACCTCACCTCACCTCACCTCACCTCACCTCACCTCATCTCGCCTCACCTTACGGCTCATTTCACGCTGCGCGGTCTAGATGGAAAGAAAAGGAGCGATATGTTGTTTTCACGCGTAACATGCTTGAGAGCTACGGACCGCCAACGTCTCATATACCACATGCTCGGTGATGTGGGCACTGTGCCGTCCAACTTCGCTGGCCTCGTACCGAGTTGTGAAAGACGCCGTTGCCTGGCGGAGGGCAAAGATCGCACCGACTGCACGTATTGCGCGGAAGAGGTTCGCGCCTGGACCCCGCTAGTGTGGGAGGTGCCACGGAGGGCATGATCTTGTGCAAAACAGGGCCCTGTTTGGCCATGACCACGACATTGTTTGGTACGTATTCCAACATTTGGTCCGGGCGTGAGAGCTGTGGTGCGCTTTATTCTCCCGTCGACTACACAGTCTTTTTTTTCTCGATCCATCGTATATCTCTATCTCGATAGCACTATTGACTACAACAGCGCATGTCACCAGTAACTCATAACATCCGATACTGGGGTCGAAGGTCGTGCTGGGCCGTGAGATAAGGTCGTCAAGTTTGACCCTTGTCCCCATACTTACCGGTCGCTACGCACAATATGTGCACATGTAGACATATATATATATATATATATATATATATATATATATATATATATATATATATACGTAATGTGGTGATTGTGCATGTGCTGTATATTTGCGGCATTCCAGTAAGAGCACATCATATGTATCCAATGTATTGCCACCAGCACACGTCGGCTCCGTGTAGTATATCGCAAGCAGAGCCTGGCAAAGCGTACCTAATTTGTTCGAAGGTTGCCGAATTCACTTGTATTCTTCTTACGCTAAGCGACTACCCCGAAATTACTTGCAGCGTTTTAATGTGCAACAACTAAAATTAAATGACCTAACGCCGAACAGCTACGCTACCTCGCAGTAATTGGTTGTGCTACTTGCGCAGTTACGCGGCGCAAAATGGATGCGTTCGTTCCAAATAGATTCTATTACGCCGAATGATGAGGGGGGGGGGGGGGGGCTTTAGTTCAACATGGCCCGACTAGGCAAGTGCTGGCGAAAACGTGCAGTAGCTTGACGGGTAGTGTCGGAAGGGACCGAAACCGGCAAGAATTAACAGACCAACCTGGTCGTAGACCCTCGCCTACTGCGCCGACCGCCGAGATCTACTTTTGGAGGACATGACGGTCTCTTTATGTCCCGCATCTTAGTAACACTTAAATTGTCTGTCTATCATGCCACTGTTGGCTTCTGCGTTTTGCAGAAGATGCGGTTTCTGCTGTTGGAGCAGAAGTACCTGGAGCTGCTGGAAGATGGACGTGCCATTGACGCCCTGGACGTGTTGCGCCACCAGCTGACGCCGCTCAAGCACAACGTCCAGCGGGTCCACCAGCTCAGCAGGTACGGCACCCCTCCTGTCACCAGCTCAGCAGGTACGGCGCCCCTCCTGTCACCAGCTCAGCAGGTACGACATCCTCTCACCTGCTCAGCAGGATATCTAAGCAGGCCATGCGCACCATCCGTACCTTTGGAAGCGTGAGGTAGGTATGTGTGTGTGTGTATGGAGGGGAAGGGGAAGGGGGCAATCGCGGGTTATGGACCACAAGTGATGTACACCTGTTTTATATCATTCAGTGGTTCCTCCATGTCTGAGATGTCAGGGTGGCGCCGTCGTGAAACGTAGACGACGGTGTTCCGTCTTATGGTGTTAAATGGCGCATGGTCATGAAGGAGCCAAATAGCGGCCGACTGAGGCGGTGTTGGTGGTCGGTGTCGGCCGGTGCTGCTCCGGTCCCGATATCGGCCGGTGCTGCCTCGGTCCCGATGTCCCGGTGGGAGTGCGACTGACGCCTCCGGTGCGGGCGCGCTGCTGCAGTTACATCATGTGTAGCACGGCGGAGGACCTGCGGGAGCAGTCCGGCTGGCCGGGCGCCGGCGCCGAGTCTCGCGGCCTGCTGATGTCCCGCCTGCAGCCGTTCCTGCCGCCCTCCGTCATGGTGCCCGGCAGCCGGCTGGAGACGCTGCTGCAGCAGTCGGCCGAGCTTCAGCGCAGCCGCTGTCCCTTCCACAACACGGCCGCCGACAGCGCCGATCACGGCCTGCTGGTCGATCACCTCTGCTCAAGGCGGGTTACTTTCAGCCCCTCCACTTCGCATGTTTGGTTAGCTGTTCCAGGTGCTGAGATGTCGCCCCTGGTCGTATGGTGGCCACTGTCACTCGTCAGTTGAAAGTAACCAGGACTGAGTTGTTAAATGGGGGTTAATGACGATTCTGACTGTGCTCATTAGTGGTAACGCGTATATCATTTATTTCCCAGTTCCGTAATGTGAAGTGTGCTGTATGCTGCCATTTGCATGTGCCTGGAAGGACCACTTCACGCGGCGGCCGGCTGGCTTCCCTATTTGGATAGTGTGACCAGCGCACCTGCATGCGCTCTTGCAGGGAACAGTTCCCGACCGAAACGGTGCAGATTCTGCGCCAACACAACGACGAAGTGTGGTTTTGCAAGTTCTCGCCGGACGGCCGGAGCCTGGCGTCCGGCTCCAAGGACAGCACCATCATCGTGTGGGACGTGGACACGGTGAGCGTTGGGCGTCGGCTTGTCGGCTGCACGGGGCGCCGGGCCGCCAGGCGTGCCGTGCCGCCAGTCCGGCATCGCGCGCTGTGATTTGGGCGTTGTCCACGGCCTTGCGCCGACCCAGCCGCAGGTCGGAGCTCGCCCACCCTGAGTCTAACCATCGGGGTGGACCGTTGCCAAGTGCTCGGGTTGCCCCATGTGCCGACGAAACGAAACTGCTGCAGTGCGACGAACAACTGACGCGCCGCGCTGGTGGGGATGCTCCTGAGTGCACGGTGCGTGTGTGCGTGACGGACGCCGCACCCTGCCACCGCAGGAGTCGCTGACGGTGAAGCCCCGCCACACGCTGGTGGGCCACAGTGACGGGCCGCACGGCTACCCGCTCTGCTACCTGGCCTGGTCTCCCGACTCGCGCTACCTGCTAGCCGCCCACGAGTCGCCCGAAGTCCGGGTAAGAGTCGGCCCGTCGGCGATGGGGTGGGGCCTGGTCGCCTGGCGACAGGGACCTCAGATCGTGGCGCGGCTGGGGCCTGCGTGCAGTGCGGAAGGAGTGTTGTAGTATTGTAGCCAGGCGATCTCAATCAAGACCATGGCCCCCGCTGGGGTCGGGGCGCCGTGCTGTATGTGACACCCCGACCGCTGCTGGCTGCCGTGCTGTATGTGGCACCCCGGCCGCTGTTGGCTGCCGTGCTATATCTGATGTCTGGCCTCTGCTGGCCGCTGTGCTGTGTCTGTCGCCCCGGCCTCTACTGGCCGCTGTACTGTACCTGGCGCCCGGCCTCTGCTTGCTGCTGTCTTGCATCTGGCACCCCGGCCTTCCTGTTCGCCGTGCTGTATCTGGCCTCTGCTGGCCTGTTCGAAATCTAGCTCAGGTCTGAACAATGCCACGGACAGGCCTCCCAGGGAAGTGAAGGGGGAGGTGACGTGTTCAGGGACGGTCCGCCTGCTGTCTGGGCGGCAAACCTCTGCCCACAAGCAGTGTCACCTGTGTGCGTTCAAAGCGGCGGGCAGGCTGCGGCAGGCGTTCTCAGAGGTGGGGGGGGGGGGGGGGGGGGCCGGCGGGGCCAGGCGTTCTCAGTCTATCTGTCGACTGAGTGAGGTGACTCTGGGTCCGCGCCGGCTGACGTCGGCTTGGTCCCGCCGCAGATCTGGGATGCCGTCCAGGGAACCCTGGAGAAGAGTGTCAACCACGCCAGTAACGACGCCATCATGTGCGGTGCCTGGCATCCGGACAGTACCAAGTTTGTGTGCGGTGGCACCCACGGACAGTTCTACCTCTTCGTGAGTTGGTGGACCGCCGTGCACGGTCGCCGGCGTCGCCTGTTTTGGTGGTGGGACCGTTTAAATCGGGGGTATCGGCTGCAGGTGCGCAGCAAATTCAGCTGACTGAAGCTGCCATTTTCACAATGCAGCGGGCTCTGCGGTCCTGTCTGCAGTGGCCAGTGTTGCAGAATCCCGTAGTTAAACGGCTCACAGGCTCGAATGTTAGGAATCGTGACGTTTACCCAACGCGGGGCGAGACAGCTGAGACGTGGTCAGGTACCTTGGGATACGCTTTGACCGCCGACTTACATATAACGCGCATCTCAAAATGTTACGCGATCGCTGCTTTAAGTATCCTAACATTCTGAGGTGTGTGTGCCGCACATCGCACGGGGTCAGGCAGAAGCACTTCGATGATAATATATCACTCGCTCGTCCGCTGCAGCTGGATTTTGCATGCTTGACATATGATGGCGCGTTTGAATCCAGCGAGAGTGCACTTGATGTCATTCATCATATCGCTCTTCGTATTATTGCTGGGGCGTTCCGCACATCACCCGTTATTGTTATTGTTGTTATTATTATTATTATTACTATTATTATCAATATTATTATTATGGTGTTTATTATTATTATTAATATTATTATTATTGCGAGCCTTGGCGAAATCCAGCGAGTGGGTATGCTAACGTCGCGTCAGTTAGCTGTATGGCAGAGCCACATGAGCCACCACTGTCGAGGAGGAGGAAAATGCTCGGCATGCGTAATGCCCATAAGTGGTGGCAGTTCCAGCCTTACCCGACATATCACGCGGCATTTTCCCAATGGCCTGTGAGTTTCCCTCGCGGCGGACCGACTTGTTTCCCTTGCCGTGACTGACCAGGCGGCCGCACGGTGGAGACCGCGTTCTGCGTGCGGCGACCTGTTCAGCGGCGTAGGGACCCGGCTGTCGCACCACCACCTCCCTGGAGCTGCCGTCCGGCGCGCCAACTGTGCCCTCTCCGGCAGGATATCCGGGGCACGCAGCACGACCGCTGGGAGGGCGTGCGCGTGCGCTCGCTCTGGTTCCAGAACGATGGTCAGACCATACTGGCCGCCGACACCCACAACAGGGTCTGCGGATACTACTCGGATGACCCCAAGCCATACGAAATGTAAGACCGCGCCCAAACGCCTGCAGTGGATTCTCAGAACATTGCACTGCCATAAGCGGTAGCCTTCGCAAAGGCACTTTCGATGTTGAATCGCATGTCTGCCTGGAAGGGCGTATTAGTGTGACATCCATGTGCAAGTCTCAGTAGTCTGAGCCCTCCAGTCCGTCGCCCCACAAGGCCCCTGTTGCTGGTCAGTTGTGGAGCACGCCCGCAGCACAGCCTCGCCCTCCCCCCCCCTTCCCACCGCCGCTATGTCCAGCAGTACTTGCCGTTGTCATGAGTCTGCCACCGCCATTGGCTGATAGCTGACTGCTGTCCGGCTTCCCCGTCGGGGACTGATCACGGGGCTGCTGACGGCCGGCAGTCTGACCGAGAGTGGCGACGTGATGTCCATGTGCATCAATGACACGGGCGCGTTGATGTGCCGGCAGTCTGACCGAGAGTGGCGACGTGATGTCCATGTGCATCAATGACACGGGCACGCTGGCTGCACTCAACGTGGCCAACCAGGGCGTCCACCTCTGGGACCTGCAGGTGAGACTGTAGGACCCACCCCTGGGACCTGCAGGTGAGACTGTAGCACCTACCTCTGGGACCTGCAGGTGAGACTGTAGCACCCACCTCTGGGACCTGCAGGTGAGACTGTAGCGTCCACCTCTGGGACCTGCAGGTGAGACTGTAGCACCTACCTCTGGGACCTGCGGGTGAGACTGTAGCACCCACCTCTGGGACCTGCAGGTGAGACTGTAGCGTCCACCTCTGGGACCTGTAGGTGAGACTGTGGCGTCCACCTCTGGGACCTGCAGGTGAGACTAGCGCCCGCCTCTGGGACCTACGAGCGAGGCTGTAACGCCCACCTGTGGAACCCACAGGTGGGACTGTAGCCTGTGGATGACTTAGATGAGACTAGACATTCAGAAGAATCCCAGTGGGAATCCCAAATCCCAGAACACCGTTTGATATTGTGTAATACTTGTGTGATATTGTTCAATACTGGGATGGAGTTCACGAAAGTCCTTCAGCAGAAACCCGGTAGAAAACGCTGTGTGTGCTATTGTTGTGTGTGATGTTGTTCAATCTGCGGGTAAAGGCCGTGAAAGACCTACAGCAGAATCCTAGTGCGAAATACTCCTATACTCTGTCATATGACAGCCGTTTCTGTTACGGAAGGCTTGATGTAGCCTCTACTGAGACCAGTGCGCCCATCCGCACGTTTGTCGTCGGAAAATCTGCAGTTACAGGCACCATCGAGTGGCGGTAGAGCCCCGGCGAGTTTTGTTCCGAACGAATTTATGTAAACACGACTGGCCGATGTTGTACTCGATCGCCAGACTGTTTATGGAAAACCCCAGTATGTCTGTCGAGGTCCCATTTATTCACGCAGAGGCGCAGCCAGAGTATTGAAAAAGTTGGGCACTGGGGACGGGGAGCATCGGGATTGACTTGGGGCCAGCACGCCCTCCAAAAATTCGCCGGGCTTGGCGCGCTTGATTTCGAGGGGTCCTGGTCGTTTTCGATTTACCTTCGGGCCCCCCGGTTTGGACGCAGATTGTAGAGTGAAATAGGGCCAACAATTTGTATTGATATGACTCACCGATTTTTGCATGCGGATGTTCACCTTTTCCTCGGAATCATTTAGTGGAAAAGTTATTTAGGAGTTTGGAACGGTGCATGCGCGTTCGCAAGTCTTAAGAAGCAAAAACCACGACGTCCAGCGTTGCAATCGCCGAAGGGGGCTTTCACCTCATGCACCCAGGTCCGTCACTGTTATTAGTATTGTGCCTTTGTCGCATTTCAGGACAAGGTTCTGCTGAGGAAGTTCCAGGGCCTTACGCAGGGCACGTTTACCGTATACGGCTGTTTCGGTGGCCTAAATCAGGAATTTGTGGCCTCAGGCAGTGAAGGTGAGTGGCTCTCCCATGCTAGATGTGCGCAGAATATATGGTGTGTTTGTGTTTGGGTGTACCTTGTGTATCATGTTTTGCAGCAGCATAGATAGCTGCAGACCATGTGGGTTAACGTGTGGTTTGTCATATGCCTGTAACCATGTCCTCTTTATGGCCCGAATCTGATATTCACACTCTTACGCGGGATATTTGTGTTTGTGCATTTTTATTGGCACCTTTTAAAGGATTGCGCTTTGGATCAACTCAAGTCCTGACCGAATGTGGCTGCTTTCGCTGAGTAAATGTGTGGCATTGTGATGTTTAATCATCTTAAGTCGTCAGCAGATGTTAACCTCCGCAAAACGGTCTTCATCTTGCCAATTATAACGTCAGTATAACCTTCCGTGGAGAGTGATGCGTAATCCATGACATCGCTGACGCCACTTTGTGTTGTCAGCGGAGATGTCGGGTGCTATCGGTGTGCGAGCCTACATAACGTCCATGTTCAGTGTAACGCGTACTCGCGGTGGTAGTGCTCTGGTGGGACGCGTACGTGTGCTGCTTGCGTTCCATAGTATAACGTCTATAGTGCTCCATAGTATAGCGTGTTCACGCGTTGCCTGTTTTCTAGGTGCATCTTGTCAACGCATAAGTATACACCAGTGTTTCAGGGTGTCTGTTTCAGCGGAGCGTATGCATAAGTGTGACGTGGCTGCATGGCTGCGCAGCCGAAGCGCCCGAAGCCCCAATTACTAGTGTTGCGCGTACATGTCTTGCACGTGTTTGCGTTCGTATTCCAGGATGTAGCACGCACACGTCTGGCACGTGCTTCAGCGTGTGACGCGCACACGTGGCGTCTGCGTATTAATGTTTAACATGGACTTTTACCACCCGGGTTCTCTAGTGCTCGTGTGCGCCTGTCGTCCGGGTTCCCCAGTGCAGTACGTACTGTCCATGTTCCAGAGTGCAACGTGTACATTTGGAACACGCGGCGCGAGAAGCCGGTGGCCGTGCTGCAGGGCCACACCAACACGGTCAACTGCGTCACCTGGAACCCGCAGTGCCCCAGCATGCTGGTGTCGTGCAGTGACGACAGCACCGTGCGCGTCTGGGGTCCGGCGGGCCCGCACCGAGCCGCAGGTGAGCACCGCTCGGCCGGTGACGACCCCACCGAGCTCACACGGCGCCCGCCGGCCGTCGGTGCCGGTCTCGGCCGGGCCAACTGGTGCAGGGCTGGTCGCAAGGGTGCCCGCCGTCGTGACGACGCGCCGTCAATGTATGGTGCGTTGACGTAACGCTGTGCGCCGCCGCTGCTCCACATAACACCGTGGGCCGGTGGCGGCGCCAGAGCGACGGGTGGGGTCAGGAGTGGGCGCCCCCACAGACGGCTGGTCAGGCGGCGGCGCCAGAGTGTGGTCAGGAGCGGGCGCCCTCACAGACGACTGGTCAGGCGGCGGCGCCAGGGCGACGGGTGTGGTCAGGAGCGGGCGCTCTCACAGATGGCTGGTCAGGCGGTGGCGGCACCAGAGTGACGGGTGTGGTCAGGAGCGGGCGCTCTCACAGACGGCTGGTCAGGCGGTGGCGGCGCCAGAGTGACGGGTGTGGTCAGGAGCGGGCGCTCTCACAGACGGTAGGCCAGGCGGTGGCGGCGCCAGAGTGACGGGTGTGGTCAGGAGCGGGCGCTCTCACAGATGGCTGGTCAGGCGGTGGCGGCGCCAGAGTGACGGGTGTGGTCAGGAGCGGGCGCTCTCACAGATGGCTGGTCAGGCGGCGGCGGCGCCAGAGCGACGGGTGGGGTCAGGAGCGGGCGCTCTCACAGACGGCTGGTCAGGCGGCGGTACCGCGGCTGCCTTCGACGGCGGCCGATTCGGTGGCGCCGGCTGACGCTGCGCTCCGTGTTTCAGCGACGGGCCGGGCGGCTGCTGCCAGCAGCGGGGCTTCCGATCTCGCGAGCAACGGCTCGTCGGCCACGTAAGCGTGGCCGCCGGTCACGCCGTGCCTTGGCCGCCCGGGCGCTTTCTCGTCACAGTGGTCTCAGCAGGCGGTGCGCTCAGGGGCGCGGGGCGGCCGCTCGGCTCGGACGAGCCACCTCTGTGCCGCGTGGAGCCGGCCGCCTCTGCCGTCGCCGACAGGCGCGCCGACTGCCGCCCACCTCATCACGCGCCCGGCGACAAGCGAACCGGCGATCTGACGTCAGACGTCTCATCCCGCTGCCGGCGCGGGCCGCTCCGCCCTCTGCTGGTGGGAGCCGCCCGCCGTCCCTCCGCCGGTGGGGGCTGGCCCTCCCTCTGCCGGTGGGAGCCGCCCCGCCCTCCCTCTGCCGGTGGGAACTGCCCCGCCCTCCCTCTGCCGGTGGGAGCCGCTCCCCCTGCCGGTGGGGCCGCCCAGCCCTCCCTCTGGTGGGAGCCGTCCCGCCCTCCTGCCGCTAGGAGCCACCCCGCCCGTCCCTCCGCCGGTGGGGGCCGTCCCTCCCTCTGCCGGTGGGAGCCGCCCCGCCCCTCCCTCGGCCGGTGGGAACTGCCCCGCCCCTCCGTCGGCCGGTGGGCGGGACCTGTCCCTGTTTTCTGGCTTGGCATCTCCCACCCTCGGCCGGTAGAGCCGTCCCTGACGTTCTCGCGTGTAGCCGGCTTTGTCCTCTCAATGTTAGCTGACTAAGCCTTTACCCGGTGTCAGCCAGACTAACTAGCCCTCCCCCGATGTCAGCTGTCTCATCGTCCTCATGGCAGCCTCCTCGTCCTCCCGGTGTCATCCAGTTCAGCCCGTTCCCAGCTGTCAGCGGGGCCATCCGGCCTTCGCAACGCTTCTTTTGTAAGGCCCCCAGCCTCGTATGGCCTGAGACTGCCTTGCTGCACGCAAGCCTGGGATGGAAACGGCACGAGCTGCTCGAGTGGCGTGGAATGCCTGCTCTCTTGTGCGTGTGTGGCAAGGCAGGCATCCGTACAGCATTGGTTAAGAATGGTATCTGGAGAGGTTGGCTCAGGAATCTCGTGCAGAGTGGATATCTGCAGCATAGTATGGAGTGGCATGCATGTGCCGTAACATGGTTTGTGTGTGGCGTGGGCGGCAGCTTGATCCAGGTGAGGGGGTCTGCGTCGGTGGTATCCAGAGCGTCGCAACCGGGCGTTGCGCTGTGTGCCTGGCTCCACCATCTTGGCTCGGCTCTGTGCCTTCCGCCACAGCCTAGCGGCCTGTTGCCGTGCCGTTGCTTGCTCGAGCGGCCCGACCCGGCCGCGGGCTGCCCCGCCACCAGGTCCGTACCAAGCTGGCTTGCTTCAGTCGAAAAGCCCCGCCCGGCCGCCGGCCCTCAACCGTCCCGTGCTGTCCCATTTCAGGCCAGTCCTACCGACTGATCACACCCGTCCCAGCTGGCGTACTGCGGTGCGGACCGTCTTGCATTTGTGCAGATCGGTCTCCAGGGGTGACTGACGGGCCCAGGCCGGTGGGGTGGGGCGCTGATGCCTGTCGACGACGGGCAGTGGTTCCTGCTGATGGCGGGCGGTGGTGCATGCTGATGATGGGTGGTGGTCCCTACTGGTGGCGGGCGGTGGTCTCTGCTGGCGGGGGATGGTGGTCCCTGCTGACGGCGGGTTGCGGTCCCTGCTGACGGTGGGCGGGGGGGGGGGGGGTCCCTGCGGACGTCGGGCGGCGGCCCCTGCAGGCTTCGGCTGGTGGCCCCTGCTGACGTCAGGCGGTGGTCCCTGCTGACGGCGGGCGGTGGCCCCTGTTGACGGCGAGCGGTGGCCCCCGCTGCCGGCGGGCGGTGGTCCCTGCCGCCGGCGGGCGGTGGTCCCTGCCGCCGGCGGGCGGTGGTCCCTGCTGACGGCGGGCGGTGGTCCCTGCCGACTGCGGGCGGTGGCCCCTGTTGACGGCGGGCGGCGGTCCCTGCTCTGGAGAGTCGGTCCCCGGGCAGTGGCAGTTCATCTAGGTCGGTCTGGAGGGGTTCAGTCGGCCGAATCGCGTGTGCTTGATGCGGGCCGACACGGACGTGTGGATCGCGACCAAACGCACTGCAGTTCTTTGTGGGCTTTAAATCATTAGATTAGAAACTTTTAGAGGCGAGTGAGGTGACGTGGAGCCCAGAGACATGTTTACAACGTCTTGTCCACATCGTGCACCGATGTTTGTATGCTAATTTCGGTTGGTTTCTTCGCCTGTTTATATCCTGTGGCCACTAATCGAGCGGAGGCCGGTGTGCCCCGCACGCTACTGGGAGACCGGCCGCCTGCCGGCCGGAGCTCGGGAGTGGCGTCTCCGTAGAGCGCCGGCGCGCCAGCTCACAGCCGACGCGCGGCGTCCGCTCCCGCCGCCCGATTCGATGTGTTCTAAACTGTGTGCGACGTCTGAATAAACTGTCCTTTTAGTCGTGACGTTGCGGACGGGTGGCTCTTGCTGTGACGCTCGAAGGGGAGCAGCAGCGGTGCGGGGAGCTTGCTGGTAAACTCGAAATGATGTCCGTGGGAGGCGTCGTCTGTTGGGCTCGGCAGTGGCGGCTGGGCGGTCTCATTATTTTGGGAACTACTTAGAACGCGGTGCTGAATGTGTCACAAACTCCTTGTCTTGCGTGTAATATGTTCTCCCTTGAGCACCGTCGAAGGGCAGTGATGTACTACCACTCTTGCGTCTGTGTGTATCATGAGGTCTCTTATCGAGGCGCGTACAGCTATGTAACGTTTGGCGCGGCTACGCAATACTGGACGAAAATTATTTTGGAAAACCTTCGGGATAGTTCAAGTTTACCCGCACCCGAGCACGCGCTAGTGTTGAGTTTATTGAGGGTTTGCATCCACGTATTTTTCATGTATCGGCAAAGCACCATCGCATCCTATTTCGATGGTATGAAAATAAATCCACAAACATCTGGCCACTCGGCCAGTGTTCAGCGCCACTTCCATAGCTCGTCTGCGTGGTTGCAATCCTCTACCTTTTACCATTGTACAATCGTTTGCGTAATGGAATGTAATAGATTGCCGGAAGGAATCAAAAACATTAGTTATCATTGAACTGAAAAACATTAGTTATCATCGAACTGAATAACAAGGGAGAAGTCGTGTCACCTTGCGCCAGCCCATTTTCTTGCTCAAATATATCCGATAACTGACTACATTTCACTTGGAATGTCCTACATCCTAAATACGCTTGTATATCATCCATCAACCGCCCTCTAAATCCCGGACTGTACAGTTTCCCGAGGGGAGGAGATCAAGCTGGGGTAAAGGTCAAATTAAATTGCCTTTTAATCTCCGGGGGAGGGGGATCCGCGCGGCACTCCAGACGGTATTTCAGGAGGCACGGCCATGCTAGCAACATGCCACTTGGCGTGGCGGGTGATCTTACTGAAATAACGATGAAATCGACTGAGATTTGCGATTTTACATCAACTAGCTTTTATTGCAAGAACGGTCTTGCATTCCATTTGCATGGAACACTTAACTGCGCATGCAAACGGAAAGCTTTATAGAACGATATGGGCATTGGGAGTGCTTTTGGGATCATCCTTGCGAAGGTATGATGCTGGGGAAAAAGAGTAAATCAAATGTCAGAGGCTGTAGCAACAGTGTGCGGATCTTTCACTTCGGCGGTTAAGCAGGCCGCCATGATATAACGACGTAAATCGCGGCACGGGTACTTATAAAAGCATAACGTCTCTGCCCCATTCCTTGAAACTTTTGGGCTCAAGGGCAGGCGAATCTGCAAACTAGTCCGTCGCCTTTCGCTTCCTCGAAGACAAATCCAATCCAGTTCCGTCAAGGAAAGCGCATATATTTTCAGAATGCCCTTGAGAACTCAGTCGCGTTTCAGCCCAACTCAACACATGAAACATGAAGCCCACATGGTCAGCGTGTCTTTCCGAATTGCTATTAGTCTCCAGTTCGTTAAACGCGTGTCCGTGTGGCCGGTTAAATGCGACGTCCTCGGGTGGGCAAGTCAAGTTGCCCCGCCCCCTGAGACCTCAAGAACTGAGCGGACTGGAGACACCAAGCTCGTGTGGTAGGCGGGGCTCTGGGGTCTCATTTACTTCAGGCTTTGAGCTCCCTAGACTATAAGCTTTGTGTCAAATGAGGTCAAACAAGGTCAAACTCCACATCGGTGTCCGAGGTGCCCCAGACCTCATGCCACGGAAACGGCATACGAGTTAGTTCCTTGGCTTGGGAAAGCAAACCGGCAAGCGTTTGTAATCGTCTAAAAATCATAATTGGTTACGACAGGAGCAAAGAGAATGCAAGAACACCAGATGACGTGAAATCACGGTCAGAGCTACTGCGATATCTAGAATCCTAGGTATGATTATGCGGTCATTGGTTTCCTAGAATGAAGCAGGAGGGTGAAACATGGCGTACCTGTCTGCACGACAGAAGTGAAACAGCATACGGGACTCGGACCCAGCGTTAAAGTGCCAGCAGTCTGACCTACCAATCAGCCTAATGGCAATGAAATTGAAATGCTAGAAAATTTACTTGAAAATTACCGGCAGAAATGTGATAGATGTAAAAAATGTGTAAGTACTATATGCATATATATATATATATATATATATATATATATATATATATATATATATATATATAATGATCTGTTAAAAAGCTGTGACATCATATATTGCACCGTTCTCCAAAAGTTAGAAAACCGAGTAATGCAATGTTCTCATGTCAGAAGTTTCGTTTATTTCACTAGACCACGAAGCAGGTCACCATAATTAATACGAAGTCGACAAAACAAGTTACTTCTAGCGAAGAAAGAGCTGAAAGTAGCCAGAATTAGAGGTGAAATAGGTAAAGTTTTCAGATAGTACAAAAGTACCGCAAACTACACGTGTCCGTGAAGTACCGCAAAATGAAAAGCACAAGGTGGGCCTTATCTAGCACATGAGAAATCACCCCTCCGAAAACAGCTAGTTCACTGGACGTGCGACATCTGACATTAATATGACAGATATGTTAAAAATTATTTACATTTGTCCATTTATCCGCTCACTTGTCCTTACCAAGGCATAATCTTCCACACACAATGATTGTAAAAGTTAATGGAGTGTTGCATGCAAAAAGTGTAGCATGTGAGGAAAACCACCTGGGTTAACAAAGCAAAAATAACTACACACGGGGCTTTAAACTGTAGACTTCTTGCTGGGGCCGTCCACAAATTGCGTTACGCATGGTGGGGAGAGGTTTTGATGGAGGGTAACCAAACGTTAGTAAGGGGATGGATAGTTTTAGGCAAGGTGATATTACGTTCACATAGGGCGGCAAATCACGCTAAAATTTTTAGGGAAGCATGTAATCCCGTGAAGCAGGATGCTGTTACCTCTCATGACAAAAAAACGCGCCCATTATTGCTTTGTATTTCTGGCTTGAGCATCGGCTAAACGGTACTTTTTGGAGGTTAGGCTTAACACCAGAGTGACCAGGGGGGGATGAGTCTGCGGGGCTGACGGACGGCACCTGACCGGACCTGGCCTGTGGTTCCGCCCGAGCCATCGCCGGCACCTGGTGGCCGTCCGACATCAGTCCTGCCGGTCCAGCTCCTGCACGAACCGCAGATCAGTTCCCCTCATCTTGTCGGCCATCCAGCGCTCAACCTTGGCATTCATCTCCGGAGTGAAGTAGTTCTTCCAATCGCCTGTTTTGCCCTTTCGGACAAAGTTGCCCTGGTCCGCGTGCATCAGACCTCTTCCCTTAAGGTCCTCTCTGTTCACGTAAGGATTGTTTTTGAAGTTGTCGATGTGCAGGTGATGGGCCAGCTTCTCCACCTGCTCGTCCGAGTATGACTTGCCGAGGAACTTGGCCACCCTGCGGATCTCTGTCTTCAGATCATGCTTCATGTCCTCGAAGAACAGGAAGCACATGTTGGGATGATGACGCAGGTTCCATGCCTCAATCATATGGTCGATCACCTTACTCTCCATTATGTTGCCATGTATCATATTCTCCACGAACAGCTGGAAAAAGGCACAAGTCTTATGTCTGCTCCGAGGGCAGTGGTCGTTTAGGCCTCAGCACACGGGTTATTGCAAGATTGAGCCCTACCACGCAAAAATGGGATGTGTGGGGCGATCGATGTCTTGGGCACGTTCCTTTCGATGAAGTATCATGCGTATGCTAATTTGGGGACATTTAGGACATTGGGGGATTCGCCGCTGTCATATGCGCAGAAATATGGAAGTAAGGGGTCTTCCACATTCATCTTTCGCAAAAGTGAAATGTGCCGAAGCTGGAAAAGCTTGGACGCAATGACGAATGATTTGGAGGAGGAATTATCTGACGTACCACCAGGGAACTTGTTATTTTGTTTGTTATGAAGTGCGAAAGAGTCAGAATCGGTCTACATTATCTAAAGTGAAATCGTTGCAAAATTGTCAAGGCAGCACACTCAAGATGAGTGCATTGAGGGGGGGGGGGGAGAAATGTGCAAAGTACTTCTTACTGGCTACCAGCTAGCCAGCTACGTAAGCCAAAATTACAGCACTGACGCCGGTAGATTGTTGTCTCGTTTGTAACAACAATCCAATATCGAATAGATCTCTGGGATGACGCTGGTCAATACATACATGAAGACAGAAGCATGCTCCTGATTCCGCTGGCTTACATTATGTGTCAATAACCTTCGCCTCTCAGAGGGCAGGATGGCATGGGAAGTGCCAGTGACAAAGGATGAATGTAAATATACCCTGACGAAAATTGCGTGTAACAGAGAATGGAGTTTTCACGTACGCTTGGAAAGAGGTGGGGTTCTCAAATGATTTGCAATTACCAAATCTTAGAATCAGATTTTTTAAACTAACAGGCTAGACATGACTAACAGAGCACAAACAATCCGTGAACTAGATTCATCAAGGGGAGGTGCTTCGAGGAGGATTTGAAGTTTAAATCAGATGTACTTTATCACCGCATTACAGACAATTTGCTTAGGGTGCTGCTGATAATACATTATCCGAATTCACTTGGATACTCCAGAGCACAACTGGAGCTCATTCGACAGGGACAAAAAATTAACCTGAGACCGGTTTCCGTGTACGTGTGGCATCTTTCCGGTGTCCCTCTTAAGCAGAATGCTGTTTAATCGGGTGGCAGAAATGTTAGCCATCAGCGGCAGAAAAAATCAGTAACTTGCGGGGAAGCAGCAGCACTGGGGCAAACGTAAGCACTGGGTTAAATGTAAGTCGAAACGCAGGCGATTAGATTATTATTTCTCAACCACGAGAAATCCATGGCTAACGTACCTGAGGCATTATCTGCTTTTCTATCTGAATGACATTCTATAACAATAGAAGCTACTCCTATGGAAAAAAGGCAATACATGTCATCACTTTTATACTAAGTTTTGTCACTCCTATTGCAAAAAAGGCAATAAATGTCATCACTTGTACACAAAGTTTAGAACCGAAGCGAGCGCCGGTCAAGCTATTAAAATGGAAGGAAGATGATTATTGGAACACTGGTCCACCATACATGAACTTCCCTGCGGATGTAGCGCGTCCATGATGCTTTTTTCGCTACAGTCCAAGACTCTCAACATATGTGTCCCAAGAATGCAATCCCTGTGTATTTAGGTACAAGAGGTGAGGTGAGTTGGCCGCTGTGTCGAACATATTTTGGAACGGATATTGGTCGCACTTCTGATACAAGTGTGTGTGGACGGTAGAAGATGATGTAATAGAAGGCTGTTACGATCAAACTGTTTTTTTTTTGTATTTCTGTGGGAACCAGTGACATTTCGAAAGGCTGCAGTTCGCGGTGGGGCTTGTTTTTTATTACGCGCCGCTGCAGGCATGTCGCATTGTTAGTAAAAGGGGATATTCCACATTTGTATGGAGTTTTGATTTGAAATAGCTATTTTTAAGGTCATTCTCTGCAGTCCAGATGTATATGCCCTGTTGAATGCCTCAAATTTTCACGTGTCTGAGCTAGGCGCATGCAAACTCGTGGACTATTTCGCGCAGCCTAATCATCCAGAGATGTATGGCGTTACGGGAACGTTACTCAAATTCCACTCTTCAATGGCCATGTCATGTTCGGTATTAGGCAAAGCATGAGCATCGGCTCGATCGTCTCTGGAGTATGCCAGTAAGATTCATCCAGGTTAACGTGTCAAGCGCAAGTTTCGAACACGAGCGCGTTTAATGGTGCTGGTATTTGAGTATTAAATTAAATGAAACATTAATTTAAAAAACAGCATTAAATTCCACCAGTTATAATAGAAATGAGGCTGAGAATCGAATAACTTGATAACAACGCCACAACCGAGAATGCGAATGCGAGTAAAAATATGAAATCACGGAGAAATATACAGGAGCACCACGAGAAAAAGCCAACACACAATATGTCAATCAGAATTCGGTCTAGTACACACTAGAGGTGCTGACTGGATTCCAATACTTTTAATGCTCCAAACCTTCCAAAGTCCAATTTAGAAATGGATAGGCAAGGGCAAGATCTTTGGAATTTTTGGACTGACGGTTCCATTCTGATGTGACACAAATCGGCATGCATTTTAACTTATCTAGCGCGTGCTCGGGTGAGGGTCAGCTTGAGTCAGGTCACCTCTCGGTGACCTGACTCAAAACTGCAACAAAACTGTCAATTCACCTCTCTTTGACTTGGAGCACAAGTGAGTTAGTCCGTCCACTTAAGTGACATTTCCGGTACGGCTAGTCTGACAGCAGCTCTGGCGTCGCGGAAACGCACCATGACATCAGAATGATGACGTATTGAAGAGCGTATTTACTCAATAGTGAAATTGTGTTGTCTAGCGCAGCCATTTATGCGGGTATTAATTAAAGCGTACCAATAACTACGAGCGAACTTTTTTCATTATGTCTCATGCTGACCTCAATATCTTCCATTGTGGAACGTTCCCTTAAGACTATAACTTAACACTGACGTGCGGGCCGTCAATTTCAAACACCAGAACATACCTCCAGGTCTCCCGTGAAATCGTGGCACTGGAAGAGTTTGCAGTGATGGTAGTAAGAAACGCAGATGTCCTTTGGGTTTCTGGCCACGTAGACGACCTTGCAGACGTCGAGAAGGCGCGGGTTGTTCATGCACATCGGCAAGTGTGTCTTGATGAAGCGTGGAGACGGACGGTTGGGGTCACCGGTCAACGCGGTCGTGTCTTGGAGACCGCCATTGGCGGATAACGGTAGGAAGCGCCCAATGATATCCTTGTCTACAAGGGCAGCAAACTCGATGTAGTTCCACCTTTAAACAGACGCGGCACAGCAGCATGTCTCAGTGTGATAGACAGACCTAGACTGAGCTATCATCGGTAGGCGTAGAAGCATTTTTAGCATCATATTCCTGTACAAATGTTTCCTTGCCAACTATCAGCACAAATATTTCATTTTTGCCTTGTTGAAAAATTTGAGATTCGTGATTTCATTGGCAGTGGGCATGTGCATATCACGGTCCAAATGTGTTAAGGCTGTCTAGATAAAGCTGAACTTTTACCCTGATGGCGGGGTGGAGATCGGTGCGTCCTTTTTAAGACAACCATTTTAAATACCATGCCGGCCAAACAACAGCTGACAAACGCACCGGGTGGCTGTTATTCGGATATCTATAAATTAATCGCTGTAGTTCACGAAGCAATCAAGAGATGTCGGCAGCGCTTGTACTCGTGTGGTACCGTCCTCACGAGTTTGACACCGGTTGCGGACGAGAGGGTTGGGTCCACGCGCCCGTTGCGGGGGAAGAAGGGTCCGCGCTCCAGGCCCAACGGGCAAGTAACCGGATATCTCTTCAGAGGGTAGCCGAGTGTTAAGGTATTTGGCCAAGGCATCCTACAAAAGCGATATCTCCCAACTGAGAAGGAGATGTTAAGTCCTAGGCAACCGCCAGCGGCGGATGCAATGCCCTTTTAAGACACGCTGGTAAGCGGTCTCCTGGCGCTGGCGCCCACCCGCTCGCGGCCCCTATTCGACAGGCGGCGCCAGCGTCGCACTCTCGCAGGGCTCCTGCAGTACGCGGCGCACGAGATTCCCCTAGTCAAAGTCCATCGTACGTTTCCATTATGAATTTATCATGATGCCAACTGACAAGACAGTGACAACAGCCTTGTTCTTCGGAGAAAAGAAGCAGGAGTGTGGAGATATAGATGCGTTGATATTTCGGCAACATGCATTCATCGGAACGAATGGCAGAAGTAAATTCAAAATTGCCTGCCAATGATCCTGCTCGATTTTTCAGTTTTTTATTGAAACAGTGAGCCACAATTTTTACAGGGCAACAACGTTCAGGGAATTCAACAAGGAGCTTTTTTAGGCATTACTACGATACAGTGCATATCTAACTAAGAATTATAATACGCGAAAATACGTGTACATGCGAACAAATTCAAGTTAACAGGCATCGCGCGTCACGCTTCATTCCAATTTGCAAGCGAGCTGAAGTTAACAGGCATCGCAAATCACACATCAATGATACATGCGAGTGATTCCAGTTAAACAGACATTGCGCATCGCAATTTATGCATCACTTACACATGTCAACGATTTTAAGCTAGCACATATCACACATGAAGGCAGATATCACGTCGGCATAATCGGCCGTGATGAGCCCTGTACATAAAGGTTTGGCCATTGACCTTTTATAGGAAAAGGTTGCCTTATTTTCATGTCTGGGTGGTCCGGTGCTCCGTAGATGACTTTGAGCTCTGAAAGGGGCATAGGGTCCATACCTTCTGTATCTCAGCCCGAGCGTGTTTTGCCAAAAACAAAAACCAAAATGGTCTTTTTTTTGTTTTTGTTGTTTTTTGTCAGACAAGCCTGTATTGTTTTTGTTTTTTGTTTTAAAAAAAAATGCATTTTAGCGTCTCGTGGGTGTTCATTACATCTCAAACGAATAGGGCGCGTGGCCTCCCCGACATAGACTCTGTTCCTTACGTTTTTTCACACAGCTTACACTTAATTTCGTAAACCACGTTTTTTGCGTGCAAACCCCTTAAAACGCAGACTTGCATAAATGACATATATTGCCACCCGGGCGCTTAGGCTTCGATATAGAAGATTTCACCAGACCTAGCATCTCGAAGCCTAAGTGTCTGGCTAGCAAGAGATGTCATTTATGCCAATCATGTTTCAAGGAGTTTGCACGAAAAAAACGTCGTTTACGAAATTAAGTGTAAACCGCGTGAAAAAACTGGGAGGGACATGGTCTATGCCAGATAGTTCATGCGCTCTATTCGTTTCAGATATCATGAACACCTGCGAGACGCCAAAAATAAAACAGGGCATACCCGTTTAAGTGGTTATTCTTCTTTGGCAAAACACGCTCAGGCTGAAAAACAGAACGGTATGGGACCATGTGCCCCTTTTAGAACTGAAAGTCATCCACAGAGCACAGGACCACCCAGACAGTGATAAGTGAATCTGCTCTTATAAAAAGTTGATGACCAAACCTTAACGTACAGCGCTCATCATGACCGATCATGCCAACGTGATATGTGCTTTGATGCGTGATGAGTGCTAGCTTAAAATCGCTAACACGGGTAAGTGATGCCTGACGCCTGATGCGCGATGTCTGTTTGACCAAAGTCGCTTGCATGTATAATTGATGCGTGATGTGCGATGCCTGTTTACGTGGGCTCGCCTGCATGTTTGAATGAAGCGTGATGTGTGATGCCTGCTTACTTGAGTTCGTTTGCACTTACGCGTATTTTCGCGCATTTAAATTTTTAGCTAGTGGCTCGCTGTGGCTCGCTGTTTCGGCAAAAAAAGACTGAAAAATCCAGTAGGATCATCGTTAGGCCATTTTTGATTCACTCCTGCTATTGTTTCGATAGGGGCATGCTGTCAAAATACCAACGCATCTATATCTTCCCTGGTTTTTCTCCGAGGAATAAGGTTAGTACTACTGATTCATCTACGTGAAAAATGCTCCTCGCAAGTTCACTTAACGACTTACGTAATCACACCAACTGGCACGAACAAGGCGAAAAACCTGCCTGTCGGGCATAAGAGGCGTCTTGGCTCCCTCGTAGTCCAGATCGTTGGCGATGAGCCACACCATCTCCTGGGTCCAGGTAGTGCCACACTTGGGTGGCGTCACCACCCAGACGTCCCGCGGGTCCAGCGGGTAGTTGTACAGGTCCTCCAGCTCGGCCTCTGTGACGGTAGCCGACAGCTTGTGGCCCCAGTGGTTGCATGACGCTAGTCCATTTGGGAATCCTCGGAAGTTCTGGGCCACGTTCTTCTGAATCTCATTTTCTAGTTGCAGGATCTTAAAAGGGAATGGTTTGCGATCGGAGGACGCCATCTGAAATGAAAATATCGCGGTTTTCTCATATTAGATGTAACTTTACGAGCAACACAAACCTACTAAAACACCTATATACTTGCTGCAATTAGCCCACACCCAAAATGTCAACATGCATTCTTCTGGCTGGACTGGCTTTACCAATTTCAATCCTCGTTTATTTTTATTTGTTCTCCTCAGTGCATTGATTGTTTAGTCCACTCGTCTCAGTAAAATGAAATCGCGAAATTTCTTGAACTGCTTACGGATACCCATGACCTGAAACACTTGAGCGCAAACATCGCCAGTACCGTGTTGATCCCGACGTAATCTGACACGGACACAACTAAGCAAATAAACTCGCTGGCACACTCCCTCGACCTCAGAGTGTGCCCCTCCCCATCCCGCATGTTTGGAAAGCCTCGCAGCTGCCGGCAGCCGCGTGGCGACGGCGGCCAGCAGAGCCATCGCGGCCGGTGCGGGCGGCGTGAGTAGGGCGCCGCCTGCCAGCGCGGGTCGGTGGGCGCGCTGTGCGCGGCTCGTGGCGGAGGGCCGGGCGAGCGGGCTGCGCTCGCTCGCCCCGACCTTGAACCTTGAACCGGCTCAAGGTCTATCTTGAAGTCACCCAACCTCGGCAGATCGCTGACCGTCTGCCGCCAGACGGTCCTCAGTTTATAGGCACGTTGTACATCCTGCAATGGTTGGGCATGGAACCCCTCGCTGACGGAAATGAAGCTATGCTTAAGTTTATAAAAACAAATGCAGTCGTCTCCCATGCTCAACAATCTGCTGCCCAAGCAACGAGTGGTGATCTACGGCAGAAACACCTGGAGTGTTTCTGAAACACATGGTGCTGACGTATGCAGAGCTGTCCGCTGTTGGGGTGTCTGGTGCGCTGGCCGACGGAAGCGAGAACATCCGCGGGCTCCGTGGAGCATCGGATGGTGCCACTCCCGACATTGCGGGGACACCCGCAACGGCCTTTTAAACGGCAGCGACGCGCCACGCGTCCGTCAGTACGGCAGGCCCAGCACAGCGTATGGTGCCGCACTATCTGGGCGCGCTCGTTGACGCTGCCCTCCGCGAATGACGACCGATCAAGCCCGGTGCGGGTTTGGCCACCGCCCCACACATTCCGGGCACTGGTCGCCGCCCGGCCCGCCCCCAGCTGTTACCCTCACCGTAAACGAATTGAGCAGCGCGTTGGTCACGTGACCATCGCCTTGGACTTGGTCACACACGATCCTGGTTTGTTGTCCGGCTCCCGAGGAAGCCGACCAGCACATGGCTGCGTCGACGTGGGAACACGGCCAGGCGTCCAGGCTTGGGAGCATCGCCCCGACCGCGCAGGACACGTCCAGGCTGGGAGCATCGCCCGCGCAGGACATCGTCCAGGACTGGGAGCATTCGCCCGCGCAGGACACGTCCAGGCTGGGAGCACGCCCGCTCAGGACACGTTCCCAGGTTGGGAGCATCGGCCCGGCAGGACACGTCCAGGTTGGGAAGCATCGCCCGGCGCAGGACGCGTCCAGGTTAGGGAGCATCGCCCGCGCAGGACACGTCCAGGCTGGGAGCATCGCCCGCGCAGGACGCGTCCAGGTTGGGAGCATCGCCCGCGCAGGACACGTCCAGGCTGGGAGCATCGCCCGCGCAGGACACGTCCAGGCTGGGAGCATCGCCCGCGCAGGACAGTTGCTGACCTCTTGTTCGCCCCAGTGCCAGGAGAAGTAGAAAACTGAACAAATCCCTTCTTTGGGACCGATGATAAGAACGAGCGGCTTGTAAATGACAGTGAAAAAAGGCGTATATAGCAGTACGCCACCATACTTTTTATCGTTGACCGTCTTTTAAATAACATTGTGTAAATCGGTGATGACGCATTTCCAACGTTGTGACTTTTACATATCACGTCGGCTAAAAGAGCAAAAGAACATTTCAGATAACGTGACCTAACTCTCTTGACATGAACTTCACGCCTGACCTTGGATACCATTACGCTATCACGGCACAGTAGCCAGTCATTGGTTTGGTACCGGTCCCAACACTGTGCGACCAATGTGTTCCAAATGCAGCTGTTACAGAGTTCTGAAGTTATTGGACAATGTTTGACTGATAATAATATATAGAGCCCTGAGATTAGTCGAGCTTGGTATCGACATTTTCCATCGTGACAAGGTGCAGTGAAAGCATGGATTGTTATTTCCGCTGAGTATTCGTCTCATGACCTCCACCTGGGTGTTGGAATTTTGCTGCCAGGATGATGCGGGCTGGCCACGTGCCGCTAGAACTCGATCGCGATGCGATTGCGACGTATATGACCATTGCGCCGGCGCAGACGTATATAACCACTGCGCCGACGCAGACTTATATAACCACTGCGCCGACGCAGACGTATATAACCACTGCGCCGGCGTAGACGTATATAACCACTGCGCCGGCGCAGACGTATATAATTACTGCACCGACGCAGACGTATATAATCACTGCGCCGACGCAGACGTATATAACCACTGCGCCGACGCAGACGTATATAACCACTGCGCCGACGCAGACGTATATATCCACTGCGCCGACGCGGACGTATATAACCATTGCGCCGACGCAGACGTATATAACCATTGCGTCGACGCAGACGTGTATATCCACTGCACCGGCGCAGACGTATATAACCACTGCGCCGACGCAGACGTATATAACCATTGTGCCGACGCAGACGTATATAACCATCGCGCCGACGCGGACGTATATAACCACTGCGCCGACGCAGACGTATATAACCATTGCGTCGACGCAGACATGTATATCCACTGCGCCGACGCAGACGTATATATCCACTGCACCGGCGCAGACGTATATAACCACCGCGCCGACGCAGACGTATATAACCATTGCGCCGGCGCAGACGTATATAACCACTGTGCCGACGCAGACGTATATATCCACTGCTCCGGCGCAGACATATATAACCACTTCGCCGACGCAGACGTATATAACCACTGTGCCGACGCAGACGTATATATCCACTGCGCCGACGCGGACGTATATAACCATTGCGCCGACGCAGACGTATATATCCACTGCGCCGACGCAGACGTATATAATCACTGCGCCGACGCAGACGTATATAATCACTGCTCCGGCGCAGACGTATATATCCACTGCGCCGACGCAGACGTATACAACCACTGTGCCGGCGCAGACGTATATAACCACTGCGCCGACGCAGACGTATGTAACCATTGCGCCGACGCGGACGTATATATCCACTGCACCGGCGCAGACGTATATAATCACTGCGCCGACGCAGACGTATATAATCACTGCTCCGGCGCAGACGTGTATATCCACTGCGCCGACGCAGACGTATACAACCACTGTGCCGGCGCAGACGTATATAACCACTGCGCCGACGCGGACGTATGTAACCATTGCGCCGACGCGGACGTATATATCCACTGCGCCGACGCAGACGTATATAATCACTGCGCCGACGCAGACGTATATAACCACTGCGCCGACGCAGACGTATATAATCACTGCGCCGACGCATACGTATATAACCATTGCACCGGCGCAGACGTATATAATCACTGCGCCGACGCAGACGTATATAACCATTGCGCCGGCGCAGGCGTATATAATCACTGCGCCGACGCAGACGTATATAACCACAGCGCCGACGCAGACGTATATAACCATTGCGCCGACGCAGACGTATATATCCACTGCTCCGGCGCAGACGTATATAATCACTGCGCCGACGCAGACGTATATAATCACTGCGCCGGCGCAGGCGTATATAATCACTGCTCCGGCGCAGACGTACATATCCACTGCGCCGACGCAGACGTATGTATCCACTGCGCCGGCGCAGCCGTATATAATCACTGCGCGAACGCAGACGTATATAATCACTGCGCCGGCGCAGGCGTATATAATCACTGCGCCGACGCAGACGTATATATCCACTGCGCCGGCGCAGCCGTATATAATCACTGCGCCAACGCAGACGTATACATCCACTGCACCGGCGCAGCCGTATATAATCACTGTACCGGCACAGGCGTATATAATCACTGCACCGGCGCCGACGTTTAAGCAAACATTAAAAGATAAACACTGAGCGCCGAGCACTGCGCTGGCTTGCACATATGCTGCTCCAACTAAAAGCTGAATCAGCACTAGCAACTGATTCTAGTTTATGTACCAAATTTATACAATTATTGGCGAAGGCAAAGATAGCTTTGTCGACTCAGTAGGTTTAGCGGTGTTCGTCGCTTAAGATGATCGAGAATTATTATTTACCTACGCTGACTCGCATCCAGTTTCGTCGGTCTAGACACCAGGCAATACGACTTTGCATTACGGAACGAGTCAATGAAAAGGAGTGCGTGGGGCACGTCGGTGAGGGGCTTTAAAGGAGGTGTTCCACATTTGCATGGGGTCAAATATGGAACATTCCCTTTAATAACTGAAACACTCCCTTTAGTAAACTGAAATATCCATCTTAAAAATCAGTCGGTGTGGTTCACAAACCCTTAAGATCTAAACGTTTCTAGTTTCTGAGATACACGCCTGCGAAAACACGCAGACTTTTTCGTGCAGCCTATTTCAAGGTTACCCAAAGCATCCATGACGCCACACTAACGTTGTCCAAATTCTGCCATTCCATTGACCACGTGACGATCAAGGCCATGCAAAGTAAAATTGTCGGGTCGTTCATATCTGGTGTTCGTGAGCACGATTTCTAGATATGATGGCCATCTACTGACTATCAGTTAGTATAGTGCACGATACGATGGCGCAATCAAGCAATGGCATATTAAAGAGTGCATGCAATACAGATACAAAAATGGTGTTGCCTTGCGCAGTCTTCCCTACTTAAAGATACACCGGTAGTCATCGTTGAGCTTATTTCATCATATCTCATGTCTTCGACATCTTCAAATGTGGAGCATTCCCCTAAGGTTTTTATGTCAAAGTCGAGTTATTTATCTCAGAAATTCTGAGAAAAATGGAAATCAGAACGTATTTTTGTTCACAAAACGCATCATAATCTTCTACCGTTCATGTATTCCTGCATTTTTCCTTCATGTCAATGTCGCCTATTTTATTGAAATCGAAATAGCATTGTGGTTTGATGGAAATTCGTTGATTTGTGGGTCCTTGTCAAAATGGTTCATTGTTAGTGATGAAAAATATGTGCGCTGTTTGGTTCACGTTTCAGTATTTTTCATCTCCATGTACAGCATGCGCACCACGTGCAAGGGGCTCTGCTTCTGCCAACGGCCCAGTGGTCGATCCAGGACTCCGCTGTGAAGAAACCAGCCGACTTATGTTTGTCCAGGCGGCATCATATTCGGATTCATATATATCTATATTGTATTGACGTCATGGCAGCCAAAGAATGGAGGTGCCTAATGAACATATAGTAACCCGTATCAAATTGTTGTTCACGACTTTGACCAGCCACTGGTACCGCGCTAGATCTTGTCGGTTATGTTAATTTGCTCATCGTGTTGAGTCATCGTGTAGGTCTTACGGAATATTACGCACCAGTCTCAGTTGTTGAGTCATCGTGTAGGTCGTACGGAATATTACGCACCAGTCTTAGTTGTTGAGTCATCGTGTAGGTCTTACGGAATATTACGCACCAGTCTCAGTTGTTGAGTCATCGTGTAGGTCTTACCGAATATTACGCACCAGTCTCAGTTGTTGAGCCCTATGCGATTGGAAAGTTGCGTTACATCTCCCTGCAGGTATTCACGTTAATCGGGAGTAATTTCTCGGGTGAATATCGATCTGAATACGAGTATAAATATAATGCCAGTTCAAAGAACGACTCGCATGGTGGTGTCTCTCGAGCGTGGCGTCACCCATGGTGGTGCCTCTCGAGTATGGCGTCACCCATGGTGGTGCCTCTCGAGTGTGGCGTCACCCATGGTGGTGCCTCTCGAGTGTGGCGTCACCCATGGTGGTGCCTCTCGAGTGTGGCGTCACCCATGGTGGTGTCTCTCGAGTGTGGCGTCACCCATGGTGGTGCCTCTCGAGTGTGGCGTCACCCATGGTGGTGCCTCTCGAGTGTGGCGTCACCCATGGTGGTGCCTCTCGAGCGTGGCGTCACCCATGGTGGTGCCTCTCGAGTGTGGCGTCACCCATGGTGGTGCCTCTCGAGTGTGGCGTCACCCAGAATCTCTGGATTTTGTCCACTTAATTTTCAGACCCCTTTTTTCATTTATTTTTGTACGCAATGCATATGGCAAAGAACCAAGGACATGAATATCTGTTGTTCATTATTTAGGCGGGGGTCAACAGCATTTTCAACATTTATTAGCACCGTTCATGCAGGTAAGTAAGCAAATTTCTTCCAGGGGTTCCTTGAGAGGTGGTATGGGGGAGGGGGCACCGGTGGCCATGCCTCCCCCCCCCCCCTACCCTAAATGATTAGCTTGGTGCGCCAGGCGCCACTGCTCACTAAGCGTTCTGTCTCGTCCATAGTCAGGAAGAAGTGTTACAGCCTTCTGTCTATTTAAATAATGATGTTAGAATAAGGAAATAATTACGTTATACCTAGGTATCTATGTGACGACATCATTACAGTTGTTAGTAGGTTAATATCTTTGAGTCTTCTGGTATAGTGTGGCAGTGGCATTTTCTTCACCTGCATCCGTTCATTCTTTTCACAATTGCTGTCCAAGAGATGTGACGTTTGAGATACCAGCATGTGTTACAATTCATGTAACATAGTACATAATGTAGTATACATACATGACATAATGTGGCACATAACAGTGTATTATAGCATACAGCATATCTTGCATCCCTTGTCATTTATCAATTATTCGAGGCTCAAACTACCAGTCGCCCCTGATGAGTTGTCCCAAATCTTCGGGAAGATCTCTGACAACAATGCGGTATGATCACATTGTTAACTGCGAGCTGTCGCAACGTGCTCATGCGCAAAAGTCATTCGTGACGCAATGTCATGGCCCCAACTGAAACCGTCCTGGCCGGTTCTAGTTCCATGCAGACGGTAGGTCGCCATTACCGTATGAGGGAGTCAGCATAGATGTTGGGGAACAAACGGACCATGACTGTTCCCAGTCATGCGGCATCCATCTGCTGTTTGTTTGACTTGCTAAAGAGAGTGGCGTCTTCTTGTACTCCTAGGTTCGTGTCCACCTTACGTGCAGCATGACGCTTGCAGGACGGGAGCACTCCAGGCTCCGTCCCATTGCACGGCTCACAGATAGCACGTGTTGTTAGTCTGTTCAGGGTCAAGCGAGCCTGAGAGGCCGCGAAGTGCCATGTACAAACACACCACTGGTCCGATGGCCTCGAGCGCCGTCAGCAGATACGGACGATAGGAAGGCTGAAGCTCCACGTCGAGCTGGGGCAGCTCCCACTCAACGCGAAACTGACGCCGCAGTCACTTAACGTCATCGCCCAACTCAACGCCAAACTGGGGCCGTTCCCATTCAGCGCCGAACTGGGGCCGCTCCCACTCAGCGCCGAACTGGAGCCGTGCCCACTCAACGCCGAACTGGGGCCGTACCCACTCAACGCCGAACTGGGGCCGCTCCCACTCAGCGCCGAACCGGAGCCGTGCCCACTCAACGCCGAACTGGGACCGTACCCAGTCAACGCCGAACTGGGGCTGCGCCCACTCAACGCCGAACCGGGGCCGTACCCAGTCAACGCCGGACTGGGGCCGTACCCACTCATCGCCGAACTGGGGTCGTACCTACTCAACGCCGAACTGGGGTCGTACCCACTCAACGCCGAACTGGGGCCGTACCCAGTCAACGCCGAACTGGGGCCGTACCCAGTCAACGCCGAACTGGGGCCGTACCCAGTCAACGCCGAACTGGAGCCGTACCCAGTCAACGCCCGCAATGGCAGGTGTGCTACTGTAGTGCGGATTATCAGAAAATCTACAGCGAATGAAAACATTTCGATTTTTCGCAAATGCTTCCAACCCCAAAAATTTTGATTAAATTTCGAGTTACATTTCGTTCATCTCATTCAAGTCAGTTTTGAGAAAATTTCGATTTACCTGCGCCTTGGTGGCTGCCGTTAAAATAACTTCTGGCAACGCAACTGGGTGCGAACTGATCACAGTGAAATGGTATTACGCCTGTGCAGCATGCCGATATTCCTGGTCCAATAACACCCGGTTTCGCTTTCCGTTCTGGCATTCGTATTCGAGGTCAGTTAGTAAAAACACGTCGTTATTGCTGCCGTTGCTCTGAGTCAAGGCTTGTGTCGTATTGAGTTGCAGACTGTTAATTAGCAGGCACCGCGCGCTCGGCGTCCCGTCTTGGTCGGCCGTGGAGGCTGAGACGTAAAGGGAACGCTTAAAAACACAGCTAACATTGTAATTAACATAACATAACAAAACATAACAAAACAACATAACAATGGCTTGCATTCGCGACCTCGTGGTCGGCTGCAAAGCGCCCATCTTTTCAAACCTCTGCGTATGCGACTGTCTGTTCTCTTTTCCGTCAGTGTCGTGGTCGTTGCTGGGAGCTGTGAACGGTTGGCTCAGGCACAAGCCGCGGCGTACAGGCAGGGAGATGACAAGGTCCCAGGAAGCAGCAGCATTTTTGTCCTGGTCGAAGAATAACTAAATTTCTGGTCGTCAGGGCTTATCAGTGTTAGTATGAGCGTAACGATTTTCGCGATTTTTGTTTTGTTTTTGAGTTGCGATGCATTATCATGCTGAACTAACGACCTTCAATACGCCAGAGACTACTGGTTAAACGACGTCGTAATGCTGAATAAGGACTGTATTGACGTTGCACAATATTTTGAGCTGTGCTCATCCTCCAAAGTGAAAGTCCCTCAAAGGAATAAGCTTACGCTTGAGGTTAGCATGAGCTTTGCGGGTTATTCTTGATGGTGAGTACAGTTTGAAACGTTGAGCATAGTCAATATAATTGTCATTAGCATTGCTATGTCGTCATCAGGATTATCATGATCATCATCAATGGATGATGATTGAAGCCCCCATGCTGAAGTTCGTCTTAAACATGCACGTCAAGGGCCATCACCTTTAGCTTATGAATGTGTGTGTGTGTCATTGGGGCTTTACGACGCACTCAGCTGCTGAGGCTATATGGCGTCGCCGGCCTCTCACCCTGGCAGGAAGGGCGGGCACCACGGGGAATCGAACCCCGTACCTCTGGTTTCCCAGACGCGCGGTGGTTCACGCAGACGCGTTAACCATTGCACTACCGGCACCACCTCACATTCAGCTTGCATGTTTGCCTCATGAAATTCATGCGCGGATTTACTTTGTTTCCTTAATATTTTCCTCGGTGCGATAACCACAACAACAACAGCGATCTTACTACCAAACACTGATGCTTTCGCATATTGCTGCAGTTTCCACCCTGCCCGGCCGGGACGCACCGCACTATTTGCATCAACTCCCTCTGGGGTATCGCCTGACCCGTCCCACGAGGCAGGTGCAGAGACTTTGGCAGTAACGATGACAGTCTGATCCGGCCGTCAACACTGCGATAAACTAGTCAGCTTATCTGCTGCTGCAGCCTCGCCGCTCGTTTGCTGTCGTGGCCTGCGCCACTTTTGGCCCCAAGCCAAGTCTCGCCAGCTGACGGGACACCCTGCTCGGAACATGGGGCCGGTCCCGTGTGACCCGAAACAGGACTGCGCATGTGTCGTGACCGATCGTCGCACCGCTCGTTGTCGGCAGGGCGCTACAGCGATGGTAATAGCCCGCTGTTGCGAAACAGCAGATTGCAGGGACGCTTTGAGCTGACATCGCACTTCAAACCTGGCTTAGCCCCATGGTTTTTAATCGCTGTCGGTCAGTAGCTTTGAATGCTTTCGGTCTCTCCAACAAATGCGTTCCCGGACAGCGTGCACACCGACCAAATCCGTCTCTTTAGTTGAAGCTCAAGCAGCATGTTAAACCACTGCCGGCGACGCTCCTACAGAGATCCGCTGGCAAACAGCATTTGACATTTCGGCTCACCGGTCAGACGGGTGGGCTAGCCAGAGGTGAATCGCGCGCAGATCCGGGACCAGTGCGGGCGAAGCGACGCTGCATCGCTCATGCACGCAGACGTCTTGATTCCGTCAGCTGGCTCTCGTGCACATGGATCAGCTGACCAGCCACGTAGCCCGGCCGAGCTCTGCGTCGCTGAAGCCGCGGCATATGACGTCAAACGTTATTCTCCGCAGGATCCGCGGCGTTGGTGCTCTAACAGAAAGTCCTGCCGTCAAGAGTGCTACAACATCACTTCTGCTGCCTATACTCACACTCGACATCAGTGACACGCGACAAGCCATACGCTTCAAAGGATGATGCCCGTCGTTACCTTTACTGCGAACATGTTCACAGTCATGTCGTGTGTATACAACATTGCTTTTACTGCAAAGACGCGTGCGCGACATTAGTGCAACGCGAGAAAACTTGTGCTTCAAAACATGTACCCGCCATTTGTTCTGCCGCAACACCTATAGAATTATTACTCAACACGCGCCCTGGTGGCCGGCTAGATACACTTCGCTCGGGTGGGGGGGGGGTAATTTGACCCCCCTGAGATCTCGGGAGCAACCAAGAAAGCTAACGACACCAAATTCACAGGGCGTGTTGGCCTGTACATGAACTCATTTAGGTCAAAGTTTGAGTTTCCTAGGTCATGACCTCCGCGTCAAATAAGGTCAGATAAGGTCAACTTCCAGGTTGGCCTCCAACGCGCCCCCAGAACCTAGATAACAGTTTCTAGGCAAAAGTACACATGCTCATTTAAGGTCAGTGACCTTGTTTGACCTTTTAAAGCTCATGGTGACCAAAATGATACAAGACTACTCTGAGTTTTGCATTTGAATAAGCGACAAAGATTATGCTAGGCAGTATGTTTCTGAAAACAAAGTGCTAACCTGGGTCACTTTAGGTCAGTGACCTATTCTGACGCCTGAGAAGTCCATGAAAGATGTATAATGCGATTTCTGCCATCGGTAAATTCGAAATGAGCACCAGAAACTATCCCATACTGCAAGCCCTAGAGTAAAAAACAAGTTGGTTTTGACCTTGGTCTGACCTTTGTACCTGACTCTAGGTCAATTTAATTTGCTCCAATCAATATTGATGCTGCCCAAGAAAGCATCTCAGAGATGTATGGCTTCGTCTAACACTCCGTTGTTGCATCAGATTGAACGATTCCCTGGAAATCGACTTCGCTGAAACTAGGGTCTGACTTTGACCCGCCATAGGTCAGCGACAATACCAGGTACATCTAAATTTGCTATGTTTAACGATCCGATATTCAATTATCTACAGCTGTGCAAAATTTGGCGCCGCTGCGCCACGCTGTTCGGAAACCATTCTGGAAAAACATTCGGGGGTCAATTTGACCTTCTCTACCCGAGCGCGTGTTAAATAAGACATAACGGCAGAAGAAAAACCTACGCGATATTTGTGTTACACGACAAAGCTGATATCTGTCATTGCTTCTGCTGTAAAAGCTTAAATAGCCATGAAGTATAGATGGCATGACTTCAAATGCAAAGACTTATGCCCAACATTAGTGCGATACGAGAAAAAGCACGCTTCAAAAATAAATTCCCGTTATCATTTTTGCTGCAAAAACTTACAGCCTACGTGAGCGCGACCAAGTGCAACACGACAAGATTTCTGTTTCAAAAACCTACACTCATGCTCATGTAGAACGCGCTGGCACCTTTCAAGGGTATAGCAACAAATTGCAGGTTGTAGGGAAGCTCAGCTGAATTATGAAGGACACAATTTTGTGGTACTAATACAAAAGCTATTGTTCATTATCTTGCGTGATTTTGACGATTTGTCGTGCATGACGTATGGGTTGAAGCAACACTCCTCCGAAGAAAGTTGTAAAATGCCGAGGCTGTAGAAATTTCAACAGTGGTACATGCGTTCGTGTTCATGACAAGAGCTTGGTCGTTTTGAAGCCGGAACTTTTGGACGCCTGTAATTCATTCAAAAATGTTGCCTAAGTAGCATAAGAGATGCCACCATTTAAGAGTTATATCAGCAGTGGCGGATCCGGGATTTCGTGAAGGGGGGGGGGGGGCACGCAGCATTGTGGGCCTCCCTGGAGTTCGGGGCCCCCTACAAAACATATCCTTGCATTTCGGTCATAACATTTTAAGACATGCCATATGTAACATACATACACACATATATATATATATATATATATATATATGTGTATATATGTATAAAAATACATATATGTATACAGAGATAAATGTATAGGTATAGTATGTACGTACCCACATATATATATATATATATATATATATATATATATATATATCTATCTATCTATCTATCTATAGATATATATATATATATATATATATATATATATATATATATATATATATATATATATATAGGTACGTATATATGCATGTATGTATTTATTTATTCATTTGTTTCATAAATATGGAAACCCATCCTACCGTGCACGGCCTTCAGAAGCTTGGCGTGCTACGCATGCATTCACGCAGAACTCACTCACTTTCTACAGGTCATGTTAAATGCAGTGATTTTGAGGCTAAGTGTTTCGGAACAACAGGCAAAATGAACTTGAGTTAGTTGCTAACAACCATCAAAACCAAGCATGGACTTGATTTCTAGCTTATGTTTTTGCGGCTAGCCGGCTGGGCGATGTAACCAGTTGATGGCTGATTATTAGCGCAGATTTTCCCTCTGTTATAAAGGAAGACAACATATCCTAGCATTTGAAATCTGTTAAGACCGTGAAACACCGGTATAATAAGTGTCGCACTCTCAATAGTCAATGAAAATGACACATACGACGTCGGCGGCATGTAAAATTACGTTTGGCAATTGCGCGCAAAAATTCAGCACCAGCATACTCGATCGCTGCTCTGAGGTGAGGGCACCAAGGCTAGTAGGGACGAAACCTGAGCGATCATGGGTGCCGCAAGAGGCCAACAAAGTGGCTCCCGTCAACAAGTATAGGGTCCGCAGAGCAAGCAGAAGAACCCAAGACTAACGTGGTACGCCCATGAACGACCGGTAGTGCCTCGGCAGACTGACATATATAGCCCCAGTCAGAGCACAGAACCCTCTGAGCAAAGGGGAATTATCCAAGACCATGACTTAAAACCCCTGTGCGATCAAGAGTGCACGGGCGGGTTACCAGCACGAGACTCGACAGGAGTGAAGAGCCCTCCGCAAATGAGATCAAAGGGGGAGAACCCTCGGTTAAAGTAGATGGCCTCCGAGAACCGAGTGCCTCCGTTCCTTACCTTATAAGAGCCTTGGCAACAGCACAAGGCCCAAGCAGAGGACCCCCGAATGATCCCGTGCGTCAGAGTAGGGTAGCATATAGCGCCTCCGTCAAGAGCGTAGGGCCCTCCATTCAAATGGAAAGCACCCAAAACCCAATGAGGAGCGCTCCGAATGATCGAGTGTGTCCGAGCAGGTTAACAAATAGGGCTCCCAACAAGAGCGTAGGGCACTCCAGTCGAATGGAAAGCACCGAAGACCTTATGTGAATGGCCCCAGAATGATAAAATGTGCCCGACCAGCTTATCAGAACGGGCCCGAGAAGAACGCAGGGCCCTCCATTCAACTAACAAGTACCCAAAACCCAGTGCGGAGGGCCCCCGAAAGATGGTGTATACCCGAGCAGATTATCAGGTGGCCCAGACAGGACTGTAGGGCCCTAAATTCAATACCCAATGTGCAGGGCCGCCGGACAATTCAGTGTGGCCAGTGGCAAACAGATGGGGTTGCCGACAAGTACATAGGGCCCCCCATTCAGAGAGGAAGTGCCCAAGACATTATGTGGAGGGCCCCTGGATATTCGAGTGTGCCAGGGCAGGTTAACAGGTGGGACCCTGGCAAGAGCGTACGGCCTTCTGTTCAAATATGAAACACCCGCGACACCGTGTAGAGGGCCCCGAATAATCGAGTGCGCCAGAGCAGGTTAACAGATAGGGCACCCGAAAAGCGCGGAGGCCCTCCATTCAAAAAGTAAGCATCCGAAACCACGTGTAGAGGTCCTCACGATCAATGGGCCCGAGCATCTTATCAGAGAGGGCCCCGACAGGAGGGTAAGGCCCTCCATTTAAATAAGAAGTACCCAAAACCCGGTGCGGACGGCCCCCGAAAGATGGAATGTACCCGAACAGGTTATCAGATGACCCCGATAGGACCAGAGGGCCCTAAATTCAAACAACAAGAACCAATGTGCAGCCCCCACCCCGAGCAATCCAGTGTGGCCGAGGAGGCGAACAGAGGGGCTCCCAACAAGTGCGTAGGGCCCCATTCAAATAGCCCATGCCCAGGGCCCGATGTAGAGGGCCCCCGAACGATTGAATGTGCCCGAGCCGGTTATCAGATAGCTCCCCCCAAAAAAGCGCGGGGCCCCCATTAAGGAAAAAAGTACCCAAGACCCAGTATGAACGGTCCCCGAACGACTGGTGTGCCCGAGCAGGCTATCAGATGGACCCCGGACAGGAGTGTAGGGTCCTAAGCAAGTGACAGACAATCAGGGCAAGGGCAAGCGCCCTAGACCAATGAAGAGGGCCCATGAGCACATCGCAAGTGTGTCGATAGGTTGACTGAGACCCACGTAAAGGGCCCCTGAGCAACCGAGAATACCGCGGCAGGTTTAGATATGGGAACCCGGCTATAGCGCACAGAGCCTTTCTGGCGAATGAAAAGAATACGTGGGAGGGCCCGTGATTGACAAGAGTGCCCGGTACGCTAACAGGAAGGTCCCCAACAACAGCGCGGGGCCCCCCGAGCAAATGCAAATAGATAAAAGGCAACGTGGAATGCTCCTTACCTATCGAAATGATCCTGCAAGTGGGCATATAGGTCTCCCAAAAACAGCATGGGCCCTTAGGCAGTGTAATGAGGCTTAAGATTTCCAGTTTACAACTCTTCCAATCATTGAATAATTTTTCAACTTCTCATGGGCCCTCCACTTTCAATTGCCTTTGTCTTGGTTGTCTAGAAGACCAGAGATATCCAGTTTTGTTACGTTTTGTGCTAAAAAAAAACTGCACCTGTTCGGC